CCTAGTTTTCAATCAAACTTCACATTATTGTAAAGAATTTAAATATCTTGGACAATTTCAAGGTAATCGGGGCAAGACAAGGTCACTATTACTATTTTAGAAAATATTTGTCAGCACTCTAGTGCCTCATTCTTTCATGGATTGTAGTCAAACTTCACATTATTATTAAAAAAAATCAATATATTGGACAAGTTCAAGTTTCAAGGTCCTCGGATCTAGGTTGAGGTCACTGTTGCATCTTAATAGATTGCGGGGGCCGGTAGGGGACATGTATTGCTTCAGCAATACTCAGTATGCTTGTTAAATAAGGTTGGACCTAGTAATCTGAAGCTGCTTTCAGGCGAGCCTTGGCAAAGCTTTGCAAGGCCTGCATAAACATGTGCAGGTCCGCCAGGATTTATACCCGAAATTGTCACATTTAAGTTGTTTCACATTAACAAAAAGGCCCCTGCTGTTAACCACTGATTGTATCGTAAAAGGCGACTAATGTGGGAACCTCCAGCAGAATTGGGGATTTGCTATTGTGCCCTCTACTTGGGGACATAAAAGCGTCCAAAATAAATCTGCTGCACCCATCGCAATATTTGGGATCTTTCTATTTCTTTCTACTTCTAACTACCTTTTATTTCCTAGCGCCTTGATTGGCAATACTTTACTTTTGGCTTTAATTTTGAGCGTTCACCCAGGTGAGAAAGGCAATGGGTTCTATCCCCAGGCCGGGACATACCAAAGTCCTTATAATGATTTTAATAATATATAACATGTATATAGCGCCCTATCTAATTTGTAAAATTACTCTAAAGTGCTTTACAACATATGAATAACATTAATAGTTATAATTATGGCACAAAAACAAAGGCTTTCAGACACTTTTAAACATTTAAGCAAGCAATGTGCACACAATTGAACAAATAAAGGGTGGTATTTACATAACGTCTTTGCAGAGACCCTAAAATGCAGACGTGAAGATGTGAGTTTTGATGTCCCTCTTGAGTTTGGCCAGGGTATTTGACTTTCTTATAGCAGATGGTAAGCTATTCCACAACGTGGCCGAAACCCTCACAAAGCACCGGTTTCCATAGGTCACAGTACGAGATTTTGGGACACACAACAATGATTCTGACTCCGACCGCAGTGATCGTGACAGCTGATACAGGGTAACAAGCTCCTGTAGGTACTGAGGGGCTGTTCCATTCAGTGCCTTGTATGTGTACACAAAAGTTTTGCACTGCGAGCTGTATCTTACAGGTAACCAGTGCAATGAATATAGCACAGATATGATGTGCTCTCTCTTTCGAGTACGAGTAACCTGCCGTGCTGCAGTGTTCTGGACCCTCTGCACCAAAATCTTGCATGCATCTTCAGTTATAAACTGCCGAATACAGCCGATGTTCCTGATCTGGTAGTAACAGGATTTGGCAATAGCGTTCACTTGTTTCTCCATGTTCAGTGAACTATCAAAGTATACCCCTAGGTTTTTAACAGCACGGACAGTCTTAATAGTTCTGGCACCGACCTTGAGCTGGAGAGCCATTGTTTGCTGACACTTTGGGGAACAGACGATTCGTTCCGTCTTTTCCTGATTAACTTTAGCATGTTGGCGTTCATCCAGGAACTGCTATCTGTCAGACAAGCTTCCACATTTTCTGAAACTGTATCCCAACTGTCTTGTGGTTTGATGACCATGTAGATTTGTGTGTCATCAGCATAGCAATGATAGCGAAGACTATGGCGACGACAAATCTCTCCAATCGGTTTGGAGTACAATATTTTTGGGGTCCTAACACCGATCCCTGAGGAACCCCAAACTATATTACTTTGTCATGTGAGGTGGTTGATCCGATGGCAACACACTGTCGTCGTTCACTCAGATAAGACTGTATCCTGGTGCAGTATCAGTCACTCCATAAGAGTATTCCAGACGTTTATAAAGTATGCCATGGTCGATGACGTCAAATGCAGCTGACAAGTCCAGCATGACAAGCACCGCTCTGCACTTGTTATCCAATGCAGAAGCTATGTCATTATGTACACGTAGTATATCAACAGGAAACGCTTAAGATGGAAATAAAGCGATCACATGATCATTACGATGCGTTCTTCTATACATTCATTTTTTATATAAAATTTGCATAATTGTCTTCAATGAAATAACTCAATCGTTAAAATTCGAACGACACGAAATTCAAATCTTTGTATCTTGAGTATAATGTGACGAACGATGTATGTATAAAATTATACAGTGTCCCTACACATACCACGGTATGATGATAGATCAGCTGCCTCGATCCGTCATGCTATTTTTTCATTACAAGATAATTCCCACATTCCTCTGTACCACCACAGAATTACAGCTAAGTCTATCTTACAAGCCTGATTATCCTGTGGGCCATGTTTATCATCCTTTTATCTCTACGAAGATACACCCGCACTTGTTTTGCGATTATGATATAAATGGCAAAAGCTTATACCGTTCATTTGTCCAAAACAAAACAAAAAACTGGTCGAAACAGATATTGTTGCTCTCATGGTTATTTTTCCGTACACTATTTACCTTGACTGTATTGGTATGTCTATGATAAAAGCAGTATTTTTAACCATTAACCTGTAATTTTTATAAAAGTTAAAAAAAAAATAGGTTCCGGCTTTAAATAGCATTGTTTGGATAGAGCTATAGTTTAACGTTCTGACTGTTATTTTTTCAAAATAAGTTTCCAACGGCCAAATTTGTGGAGACAATTTCTAATATGCTCACCAGAATCTTTCCGTGCTGTTTTCATTGCCGGACATGTCCGTGTCGGGCATTGAAACGGCGAAATTACCAAACATGTTTGTCCTCAACAGCAATCGGAAACCGTCGGCGGCACTTTCCGTAAACGAATGACCAGTGTAGATAAAGAATAAAGTATTTTCTCGTTTACGGAAAGTGCCAACGGTTCCCGATTGCCTCAACAGTTGAACGTCAGCGCGGGAGAGCGTCTGTTTTAGAACTGATGTTTAGTTTTCAACTATTCAATGTTATTAATATTTTGAAATGTTTAAGATTACAGTAGCATCTCCATTTGGTAAAAAAAATATTATTTATGTAGTAACATTTTTCGTGGTTTTGGTTTGTGAAAGGGGAGACAACTCGAATGACCATGGATGCTTCGAAACATTGAAGTGCAATCATTTAAAACGACAATATCAAAATACTCGTATGAGCAGTTTTTCCCATGTGCATCTTTTAACTAAAATCAAATCACAACGGCTACGAGTCGCTCTTCTCACATTTAAGCATCTACACTCAGGGGCGTTTCCAGGCTATTTGAAAGACGGGGCGTAGAATCAATTCTTTCGCCGAGCGGAGCGAGGCAAAACAAAATTTGGACCTTTGTTTTGCTAAAAAACATAAAATAATTGTGAAATGCACTAATGTAACGGGTCCTGACTTGGAGCATGCATATTTTATAGTTAAAGTGTCAGGGTGNGACCCGCCCCTGACACTGGTCATTCGATCTCGATCTCGAGAGAGTATACCAACGAAAGTGTCAATAAAATAAATTAACCGGATTTCGATTAACGGAAAGGTTTACGCGGAGATCCATGAGAAAGTACAAAGATAATACGACCAGGTGTTCTGGAAGGCTAAGACACCATTGGGGTCAAAATTGGTCCCGAAAACCAGAGACGTATAATATAATACGTCTCTGCGAAAACTAAGTTTTGGTATTGACCGATTTTGAACAATTATACAGGAGATAAGGCACACATTATCTAACTTTTATTAAGCTTTTTCCAAATAAAATGTATACTTATTAAAAACTTTCCCTTCTCCCTTGTATCCGATATTCATGTATTTTGGACAGCAAAGAAGAAAATGCTTTTTTTCGTCTTCGATCAAATTCAAACAGTAGACACAGCAGTTCCGGAATTAATATATTATATGTGGTTTCAAGATGAATCTTTATACTCCAATATCAATTATACAATACGGCACTTCTTTACGGCGACAAACGCGCCGTTTAGCAAAAACAAAAAGTCGCTTATGTTTGGCATTAACGCGAAATTAATACGGCGATTTTTCTCTTAGTTGGCGAAAAGACGAAAAAGTAAAAGTGACCCTAATTAGCCATCATAAAACTCAGCTGCTTACGAGACACTTTCTATGGACGAAGCTGTGGTCGCAAATTTTGAATGTGAACTGCCAGCCCTTAAGTAATTCAAGTGCGGAGCGCGATTCAACACCTATTATCTAAGGGAGATAACTTCTCATCCCTTTGGAAGGTAATCTGTCAAGAAAGGATTCAGGATTTCCGGAAAAGTTGAAGGGTGCGGTGCGTCTTTTTGATTTTATTATCTCATAGCTGGTATTGAAGACAGTAGCCAAGGAACGAAGCGACGAGGTGAGGGAGGATCTGCGTCTACAAACCAAAAAGGGAGGGGGTCAATAGATGTATCGAGTCCCACCATGGTCAGAAAATTAAAATGGAAAAAGCAAAAACCTCTCGTGTGTGCTAATTGAAATATTGGAGCGGTCTGGTGCCATCTTGGGTACAATGTATCAGCTTTATACTTAAAGCAAATTCTATGTCATTTTAATATTGTAATGATATCTAGATTTGTTTGGTTTATTTTATTAAGTATGAACTGACTTATATATTAATGTACTTTTCTATCACCTTTTTCACGGTTACAATGTGATTAAAAATGTCAAGATGCAAGCGAAAAATTGATACAATCAGATAATTGTCAATTTGAAATCCGGTTGACTGCAATCTGGCTACAGCACGTCCAGCCAGTATTATACGTCTCTGGTCCAGCCAACACCTCGGGTCACTTATATGTCCACTTGTCATGTCTTCCAAATATATATGTATATATTAACAATCATAGACCAGTTAAGCGGGGTATTTTATCTCCATATTATTAGGTGTGACGTTTCCGTCACATTACGTAATGAGTGCGACTCCCCAGGTCGCCCGTATGACCCAGTGAATGGGAGAGTATATATACATGCCCGGGGGCTAGCGCTTCGCTATGAACAACAGCCGAGGAATGCTCGGGCATCACCGGACCATGTCGCCAACAAGCCGTCACTTAACCGTGAACAGTATCCCTCTTAAAACTTGAGGCTGATCAGATAACTCGCATCCAGCTTTACATTGAAAAAAGACATAAGTGTAATCCGACTCCTTTTAATATCTACGCTATAAAGGAAGGAGAATTTGAAGGGCATTCATTGTTATACCGTACAGCAAAAAGGTTATAAACCTGGGATAGCGACCCATGGATGATAGACGCTATATACTCAGGTGAAAATTACAGGTAAGTCATTATTACTGTTTCTTAAATTACTTTAAATATATTGTATAGAGAATGAAAACTGATTAATTTGATCTCTGTTTACAGATAATTAGATTAACATTAAATAGTTATACACAAGCGTTCGATGGATAATGGTTATTGAAAACTGTTCAGATAAAGATCGGGTTGTTGTTATCATTCGGGCCCAGTCAACTTTCTTTTGACTTATTCGATCGATCTTCTCGGGTTTACGGGGTCTTTTGTTTCAATTCAATTTGATTTTAAGCCGTTAGTGATACGTTTAAAATGTAGGAAGTTCACAGTTGGGGAAGAGTCGTTATGTTTTGAATGTGTAGACATGATATGAGAAACAAAACCGTCTGTACAAAATGGCGGCTAATACCTGATATAATTAATCAGAAATCCACGCCCGCGGGGGACAGATTGCTGGGAAATGTAGACATATAAATACTCGTGATTCACATGTATATCAGCTCTCTACAACAACATATATAGTTACCATATAAAATAAACGTATTTGGAGACGTCGAAGTGCATTATAAAGTAATAAAAATAAAAGAAAGTTTAAAAAGTTCGGGGATATTGAGGTATCGCATGATATTGTTATAAACGCAGATAACAATATCATATATATGTGATACCCCAATATCCCCGAACTTTTTAAACTTCTAGCAACACGTTTATCATGACAAAAAGTATGGCAAAAATGACAAAGATGTACTGAACTAATATCAGTGTTGTTTAGGACTGTAAAAAAAAAATGTCTTAAAATTTGATTCTTAAAAAAAGTTATAAGTTATATATAGATCTACTTTTTCCCTTTTTATATTCATAAAATTCACGATTTACTTTGGCTAAATCAGGTTTTGAATACAATTCTAACTTTAAACTTTTATCTAACAATGTTTGCTTCAAGGTCATGGGTGAAAATTATGTGTAAGAACTGTACACAAGATTGTATAGGCTTCTAATGTAAAAGGCGTCATATTAAGTCTCTTTCCAATTTGGTACAATGGTTGTATACATTGGACAAACTGATGGATTTATTAATATTAACCCTGTTGAAATCCAAGGTCATAAGTCAAAAAGTCAAGGTCAGAATGATAATTTCTCGTAGGTGCACCTTCATGTCATCAGGAGCAATTTCATTTCTTACAAAGGTAAAGTAAAATAAGACAGCAAACAAGCTAACTAATATTTCCTGTGCACATCACCAGGGCTGGTGCCAATTTAATTAAGACCAAGCTTACGATTAATTGTTGTTCATAGGAAATCATCATCAGTTTAGTGATTTAATTGTGTTAATTATGGCCAAGGTCATTTAAGGTCACAATCTTTTCATAAAAATATCCTCGTTACCATATAGCACCTGACTCTCTTGCAAAATATAATATATTTTTTTTAAATGGATTCAGCATAATTTACTGAAATATACAGATAAAATGAAATTCATTATCAGAGAAGTTTCAAGTCACCGGGTATATCAAAAGATAGGACAATAAACTGTTGAATCAGCTACAAGATTCATGATTGATTTTAGCTCGAAAAATTGTGTGTAGATAATCTGATATTGTTGAGTTTTCAGTAGAGTGATATGTGAATTCAAGCCTATCTTCTTCTTTAGATACAATTAAGAATAAGCAGCAGCTAGAAGACTCATGATAATTCCAGTTGTTATATGTATGTTATCGTCATCACTGACTTGCTTTTAGCTCTCAAGCCTGTTCATAGCTAGTTAGGGCTATAATTTCCAGATTGAGTGTTTGAAAGGAGGTAACTCTTCCATATCATTTTTTAATCGCGTAACAAGGCCCAGCAACAGCCTGGAGGAATTTCACAATGTATCTTCAGTTTAATAGTTAATGGTAACCAACTAACCATTGCTATATTGTAAAATTTCCCAATACAACTGTTGTGCAGAGAGGATTGGTATTATTTGTGAAGCCTAGCTATACATATATTATTATTGTTTATTATTATTATGGACCAGGAGTGACCAGGAGCCAGTATGTTACCTCTGTACCTACTCGCCCTGCTGCTGACAGGGACAGATGCAGCCTCCGTTTTTGGTAAGCAGGTTGTCAGTCTGTACAGCTCTTAACCTTAAAAGTATCATATGTATTGAACAGACGTTAACAATGACATCTGGTAATAAATCAACAGCTTTATTTGATGACATGAGTTCATTGTCAAGGTCATTATACCTCAACAACAAAGTAAATAAGGTATGTAGTGGAATCAGGTTGTCTATCCATGCTTTTTGCTACCTATAGGCACATGCAAGTCTTGTCTAAACTATGCTATTATAAAGTACTGCACCAGTTTTCATAAAAAAAAATGTACACAAATCTTGCCAGTTATTACAACTGTTGCTTGAGTTACCAGTAAAATGTTGTGTCCATTAAAATTCAGAGTTATTGCCCTTGTTTTATTTTCTGTAAGAAAGTCCTACATGTCCTAAACTATGAGATGAATTTAAAACTTTGCTAACATATTTCACTGTGTCATACAATAAGCTCAGATCAAACACATGAACTTGATCTTCTTCAAAGGAAGGGTTGGGCTTATTAAATGTGGGACAATGAAATAGATTTGTGAATATCTAATTTACTGAACTGAATTCGACATGCATGGACTTAAGCTTATTGCCAGGAAGATCAGGTAGCTATTTTATTAACCTGTGTATATAACTTCTGTTGTTATAACTATTTTCTAAAGAAATATGACTCTATATATAATTCTTTACTAAATGAATTGCACATATATCCTTCATATTAAACGATTCACATTTCAAGTCATTCAGTTTAATACCATAGAGATTCCTCATTCTTGAACTGTTTGTAGAAATATATTTTGACGGAATATATATGATATGTTGTTTGTTACATATGATTTTGATCCTACCTAATTACTTTTCAGACTGCCCCAGTGATTGGCTCACCAACGATTTTACTTGTTACAAGTTTTTGTTTGACCCCAAGGTCTCCTACGAAGAAGCTCGCGCATCATGTGCTGTAAGTAGCAGGTCTATTATTGATTACATAAATTGACAGTATGAAAGTATCCGGTAGTTACACATCATTGTAAGGAGGCACCAAGAAGGATGTTTCTCATTTGAATATACAAATTTCTACATTTTGAACTATAATACATCGAAAATGATATTAAAAAAGTGTTTTGTTTGCACCATATACAAATCTATAAGTGTTTTTACGAACATGATACTAAAAGTTGATCTATGTCATTGTTCAATGTCATTCATTTAGTAAAAGACAATATCTTATAATAAGGCAACTGGGGTTTGATTCCTCAATCGAACATGAAAAGGTATAGGATCAACTGCTCAACCATCTGGATTTTACTCCATTTATATTAATAGCCCATTTGTCCTACCGACAGGGCCAATAAGAGTGATAAATGATAATTGATAAAATTTGTTTCATATTTGTTATAAAATAGGTAACTTTAATTAAAATGCTTTAAGTCTCTACTCTATTTATATGTACAATGTATAGTAGACCATTTTTGCCTTGAATTTACTTATAAAAAAACATATTAAATATTGTCAAAACACTGAATTCTACTCCCATTGTAACTGGAGTTTAAGACTGTTACATAAGGGTATGTCCTGATGGATTAATTACAAGTGACTATTGATTTATTACAATTCCAGATAATGGGATCTTCCCTGCTGTCTGTGGGCAGTCTGAACGAGCACAATTTTATCAACAATTGGCTACAACGTAATGATTTTTACAGGTGAGAATTAATCAACAGGTGTGTGTATTGTATTGTACAAAAGGACTATTAAAAGTCTGGCTAGGTAGTTCATGGACTGGCTATGATGAGCAGATAGGAACATGTGTGGAAGTCTTAGTAATAGTCTCGGTCTATGAATTACTGAATAACGGAAGATGATGAACCAGAGATTAATCTATTGTATTTCTCTTCTGCTGCAATAATTGATGGAAGAGTGTTATCACAGACAACCGGAGACGGTACCTTTAAACTTCGTAGCATCAATCATCTGTAATGCAAAGCTTCCTCAAATTGTCTTAACTAATAACTGTATACCATGAAGTAACTTGCCTGTTTTTCCTCTCTGTTTGGACGCAGAATTTATCATTACAGCAAATATTATTTGATAACACAATACAAAAGTGAAGGTCAAACAATATCAATGGGCAAATACAGATTTCACCAAAAAAAGGGTGAAAGTTTGAATAGGCGAATGATTTCCTGTATACAGCTTGAATAATCCATGTCACTTGTATGGTTAACTCATTCACCCCTGAACTTTCATAATGGACTATTCTTACCTTTGAATTGGAAGAGTTAAAATGTTAAATGATACTGAGTGTGTTGTATGATGGTGTCTGTAGGAATGTGTGGTACACCAGTGGTCTCGAGGAAACAGACAGCTCTAACGTCTACAGATGGGCCAGTGACAGCTCACTCATCTCCTCATCTCTCCAGTTCTGGCTCGCAAACCAGGACAACGTCCAGGGGGAAGTCATTGTGTATAAGTTTGATGGTAAGTTTTATATACCGACAGTGATGATCACTTGTCTAAATGAATAACAATCTAACTTTCCTAATTTACCCTAATTAGGAGTAGTCTTGATTGCTGACTATAAATAGCTTGTATCTGGATCTGAAGAAGGCAAATCTCAAGAAAGCATTATTTGAATGAAGGAAAAATCTCAGAAATTTCTCTCAGCTTCAGTAATCCTGTATTATAGCTAATGACATGGCAAATCATCAATTTGTTTTCATTAAAAGTCTTCTTCTGAAGGACCATAAGTTCTAGGATCATGATATTTTACATATATTCAAATTTATTTTCTTGACATTGACAAGGTCACTTAGGGCCATATGTTAAAACATTTTAAAATAACTTTAATAGCAAGTCACTTAGGGCCATATGTTAATTTGCCAGCAGTGACCCAAGAGTTTTAGGGTCATGTGATTAACCCTTTCACCACCGTAGACCATAATGGACTCATCCCAATAAATGCATGGTAGAGTCAAGTTAAGTTACCTAGGGGTGAAAGGGTTAAACTCAATTTGTCATGTGCTCCATGTTTCTTATTTTTTGTGTCGCCTGCGAAAAGCTGGTGACACATAGGTATTGCTATGTCGGCGGCAGCGTCCGCACAGAGGTTTTTGTGCGATAACTTGAGTTTCCTTGGGCCGATCAAACTCAAACTTCATGCAGTGCTTCCTTACCAAAAGTGCTTGCTTGGGATTGCTTTCAGGTCCCAATGTCAAAGGTCAAGGTCCCTGTTACTATAAATAGAAAATCTGTTTTCGTGCGATAACTTGAGTTTCCTTGGGCCGATCAAACTCAAACTTCATGCAGTGCTTCCTTACCAAAAGTGCTTGCTTGGGATTGCTTTTCAGGTCCAAAGGTCAAGGTCACTGTTACTATAAATAGAAAATCTGTTTTCGTGCGATAACTTGCATTTTCAAAAAACAAAATGGATACCAATGAGGCAATGCTGGTCTTGCTTGTTGCCAAATAAGGGCATTATGTAGTAAATGCAAGAACCTTTTTTATTTTCTAATCAATTCCTTTCAAATTTTGTACAGTAATGCTATAACTAGAAGCAATAATGTTTAACATATATTACGGGTTTTTCTAACGAGTTTCAACTTTCCGCGTTTTGGCATATCTGTTTATGTGATAACTCAAGCCAAAACACTTTTCTTACTCAAAGCGCTGAGCAGGCGACACATCCACTCCCGTGGATTTCTTGTGGGGAATATATTTTGAATTGGATGTTCTAAAATGTGACAACTAAGAATGCAGTAACAATTTATGATACAATATCTTTAATCATGCCAATTTTGAGTGAAGCATACTTTTGATGATAATAATGAAATCTTTCACAGGTGCTAATTTATGGATGCAGTGAAATATTGATCTGTATTTACAGGTGTGAATTACGGGTGGAGTAAATCTGTTAAGGATGCGAGGAACTCGTATGTCTGTGAGATCAGCCAGGAGGAGGCCTATAGGCTGGTGCAGGAGAAAAGAGACTTTGGTAATTATAAGTTAACAGACAATTACAGTATACAGCCAGTTTGGTAATTATAACATAACAAACAATTACAGTATACAGCCAGTTTGGTAATTATAAGTTAATAGACAATAGCAGTATATAGCCAGTTTGGTAATTATAAGTTAAAAGACCATTACAGTATACAGCCGGTTTGGTAATTATAAGTTATTAGACCATTACAGTATTCAGCCGGTTTGGTAATTATAAGTTAATAGTCCATTACAGTATTCAGCCGGTTTGGTAATTATAAGTTAATAGTCCATTACAGTATTCAGCCGGTTTGGTAATTATAAGTTAATAGACCATTAAAGTATACGGCCAGTTTGGTAATTATAAGTTAATAGACCATTACAGTATACGGCCAGTTTGGTAATTATAAGTTAATAGACCATTACAGTATACAGCCAGTTTGGTAATTATAACATAACAAACAATTACAGTATACAGCCAGTTTGGTAATTATAAGTTAAAATACCATTACAGTATACAGCCGGTTTGGTAATTATAAGTTAATAGACCATTACAGTATTCAGCCGGTTTGGTAATTATAAGTTAATAGACCATTACAGTATACAGCCAGTTTGGTAATTATAAGTTAATAGACCAGTACAGTATACAGCCAGTTTGGTAATTATAAGTTAAAATTCCATTACAGTATACAGCCGGTTTGGTAATTATAAGTTAATAGACCATTACAGTATACAGCCAATTTGGTAATTATAACATAACAAACAATTACAGTATACAGCCAGTTTGGCAATTTAGTAATTATAAGTTAATAGACAATAGCAGTATACAGCCAGTTTGTCTGGCCATACAGCACAGTGTTCTGTACTGTATATGTATATAACAATACCCCAGTAGATGGAATTCCTGTTTTGACTGCTCTCGTTATATTTTTTCACTGATCAAATTGAAAGAAGAATGGGTTCTGAATATTTCAGTCTTTTTTTCCTGTCATAAATGAACATAACAATTTCCCTCAGCTCCTCTATTAATAATAAAATTGAGGTTAAGTACAGAACAGTATCCCTTTAACAAACTTGACAGTTCCATAGTTTTCTTTGAAATCTGATTAAAACTCTGTACCAATAAAAAATCACTCTCATATATTTTAATGTAGAAATAATGTTATGAATGATAATGTAAACATATGTGCATACATGTACCATAGGATTGCGAGACCAAAACTTGAATATTTAGAAAATAAGGATTCACTTTTTTATAAGATTACCAAAGATCTTTTGTGGTTGATAAAACTCTATTACTGATATCTGTTATTTTTGTATAAAAAAATGTTAAAATGTGGACTGACTTGCCAACTCAAAATCGTGCATCACCATCACACAAATAAGTTTACAAATAAACATACAAGGTAACTGAGATGATCATATCATTACCTTCAGAATATGGCCAAGTGGTGTCAGATCTGGATGACATCATGTTTGGTCCACAGATGACAATGCAACCGACAAGTGTGATTGTGGTTTCCCGGGCGATTACGACTGTCCTTGAGTGTCGCGCCATTGGAAACCCCCGCCCTGAATTTACTTGGTCCAAGGTTGTCAATAGCTCGGAGGTGAAGGTAAGTCTGAGGTCACGGACAGAGGTGAAGGTAAGTGTGAGGTCACGGACAGAGGTGAAGGTATAAAGTCTGTGGTCACGGACAAAGGTGAAGGTAAATCTGAGGTCACGGACAGAGGTGAAGGTTTTAAAGTTTGAGGTCACGGACAGAGGTGAAGGTAAGTCTGAGGTCATGGACAGAGGTGAAGGTAAGTCTGAGGTCACGGACAGAGGTGAAGGTATACAGTCTGTAGTCACGGACAGAGGTGAATGTAAGTCTGAGTTCACGGACAGAGGTGAAGGTAAGTCTGAGGTCACGGACAGAGGTGAAAGTTTTAAAGTCTGAGGTCACGGACAGAGGTGAAGGTATAAAGTCTGTAGTCACGGACAGAGGTGAATGTAAGTCTGAGGTCACGGACAGAGGTGAAGGTAAGTCTGAGGTCACGGACAGAGGTGAAGGTAAGTCTGAGGTCATGGACAGAGGTGAATGTAAGTCTGAGGTCATGGACAGAGGAGGTGAAGGTAAGTCTGAGGTCACGGACAGAGGTGAAGGTAAGTCTGAGGTCACGGACAGAGGTAAATCTGAGGTCACGGACAGAGGTGAGGTAAGCCTGAGGTCATGGACAGAGATGAAGGTAAGTCTGAGGTCACAGACAGAGGTGAAGGTAAGCCTGAGGTCACGGACAGAGGTGAAGGTAAGTCTGAGGTCACGGACAGAGGTAAAGGTAAGTCTGAGGTCATGGACAGAGGTGAATGTAAGTCTGAGGTCATGGACAGAGGAGGTGAATGTAAGTCTGAGGTCATGGACAGGGGTGAAGGTAAGTCTGAGGTCATGGACAGAGGTGAAGGTAAGTCTGAGGTCATGAACAGAGGTGATGGTAAGTCTGAGGTCACAGACAGAGGTGAAGGTAAGTCTGAGGTCACGGACAGAGGTGAAGGTAAGTCTAAGTTCATGGAGACCAGTGTCCTTGGTAAGAATAAAAGGGAAAGTAATTAAGGATGGTTCAAATTCCAATACTTATCTTGAACATCGCTTTTCAACAATTGGTCTACACAAGTTTCAAGTTTTGACTGAAATAGGGAGGTGATTTAAATGTCTTTCCTCTTGGAAACGAAATGTGAGAGGAGCCAAATGGTTCCTTTTCTGTAGAATTCTGAATGATATAAATTTGAATACAATGACATGTTTGCACAGTTGGATTCAGGACTTTGCTGATGTTTTCAGCTTTATTACGTATTTCGTGTTTGTTGCAGAAATTTCTTGCTTGTAATTATAATGCAAACAACTCGTGGTCATACATCGTCAAGGACAGATAGACTTTAATAGCCTGTTTCCTTTGTTATCTTTTTCAATCTGTTTATCTTTCTATTTTGACAGATAACTTCTGGTGCAGATGACCGTTACACATTGACTAATGGAAAACTCACGATCCAGAAACCCGACGAAGATTTAGATGCTAATGAACACTACCAGTGTAGAATAGAAAACAAATACGGCAAGATTTTTAGTGACCCAGTGTCTCTTGGCTTTGGCTGTAAGTCTTGAAACTAAAAAAAAAATCACTGTAGTGGTCTAAAAAATTATTAAAGCAGTAAATACAGTAAAACCTCGATGTATTGCCACCCGTGTACCGCCAAACTCGCATACCGCCATCAATTGTGTCAGAACTGATTTCCCCACACTTAGATGCACCAGTTGTACCGCCAAACTCGGGCGCTGTCATATGCCACAATGTTTTGAGAACAGTCATTCAAATACCCCTTTGTTTGCCCCCGACAACACCGCCAAGCTCCATCAAAGAAATGTACCTATATCGTTGATTTCACAGTTGACTCAGCCCTGGGGGTCAGTTTTAGATGTTGTAATTACGTATAGTACGTGTGTCTAATTAATTTACATCTGAATACAATTTACCATATATTACCTCTGTCGGTTATTTATTCATTCATTCACATCATATGGCTTCTCAGATGGCTTCTCAAAAAAAGGAAACAGGTTGTGAAAATATTCAATTTATTTTTAGCTCGCCTGTTCAAAGAACAGAGATCTATAGTGATACCCCCGGCGTGAGTGTCAGACTCGTTGTACCGCCAAAATGTCTTTGAATGGAAGGTGGCGGTATATCAGGGTTATACTGTATAGACTTTTCTTGCATGTTCAAGAAAGGTAAGCTTTCCTGCCACCACTACATATACAAGACAAACGTAAATGGGGAAAACTTACGTAGGGTTGTAGACTTTTTTTATATGTAATGGATGGGAGGTGTTAGAAAAATCGTCTGGAGTCATAATTAGATTAGTCTTAGACAAACTAAACTTGTATCATTGATTCACCTAGGGCAGTACATCTTTCCACCCACCAAAATCTGTATGTGTCCTTATTTGTATGGTTTAGTGAATTTGTCAATGTTAAAAAAAGTTTTGAGATTCAGGTCTGTTTCTCTAAACTTAAGTTGGATTAGATATGATTCATAGGCTTTCCATCTGATAGTATGCTTTGTATGCTGGTTTTGAACTTTATTTACTGCTAGTATTGTTTACAAGACTGAACTGATTGTGATTGCAGACCTGGGAGACTTCTCTAACGTACAGGACGCGCCCGTGTACGCCTTTGCTTACGATGGAGCTGTGATAAAGTGTAGTAACATCATATACAAACCAGGTAACACTTCCAGATTGTCCAATGTTTATGTCCAAGTACGATTCATTTCGCCATATTTGATATGATCTTTGATAAGAAAGAAAAAGGTACAAAATTAATTCATCATCAAATTCGAGACAAAACTTGAATGTCCAAACTACAAAGAAATGGCAAAAGAATGCAGCAGTCAAAAAATATTTGTGAAATGAAATATATCCCTATCATCGAAAAATATGAGAAGTAAAACAATTCTGAATGGATAAAATGTTGACGTTGTGAGGAGCTAACAAGATAGTGTGTTATTACAGCTGCAGTATTTAACTGGCAGAGAGGGGAGAGGCGGGAATATATCTTCGCCTCCACAACACCCTATACTTTCATCTCCAGTAACGGTCAGCTCTACTTCTCCGAGGTGACCAGAGTGGACGAGGGAGACTACTACTGTCAAATCACACTGACTGCTCTGTCTGGCATCGGTCTTGGGACATCCCAGGCGCCGAGTAAAACCAGTCTCGTCATCACCCTCAGTATCATAGATCAAGGTGAGTCACTTATTACCATGATCAAAGAAAGTCACAGGCACCGAGTCAAACCAGTCTCGTCATCACCCTTAGTGTCATAGATCAAGGCGAGTCACCCTCAGTATCATAGATCAAGGTGAGTCACCCTCAGTATCATAGATCAAAGCGAGTCACCCTCAGTATCATAGATCAAGATGAGTCACCCTCAGTATCATAGGTCAGGGTGAGTCACCCTCAGTATCATAGGTCAGGGTGAGTCACCCTCAGTATCATAGATCAGGGTGAGCCAACCTTAGTGTCATAGATCAAGGCGAGTCACCCTGAGTATCATAGATCAAGGCGAGTCACCCTCAGTATCATAGATCAAAGCGAGTCACCCTCAGTATCATAGATCAAGATGAGTCACCCTCAGTATCATAGGTCAGGGTGAGTCACCCTCAGTATCATAGGTCAGGGTGAGTCACCCTCAGTATCATAGATCAGGGTGAGCCAACCTTAGTGTCATAGATCAAGGCGAGTCACCCTCAGTATCATAGATCAAGGCGAGTCACCCTCAGTATCATAGATCAAAGCGAGTCACCCTCAGTATCATAGATCAAGATGAGTCACCCTCAGTATCATAGGTCAGGGTGAGTCACCCTCAGTATCATAGGTCAGGGTGAGTCACCCTCAGTATCATAGGTCAGGGTGAGTCACCCTCAGTATCTTAGATCAGGGTGAGCCAACCTTAGTGTCATAGATCAAGGCGAGTCACCCTCAGTATCATAGATCAAGGCGAGTCACCCTCAGTATCATAGATCAAAGCGAGTCACCCTCAGTATCATAGATCAAGATGAGTCACCCTCAGTATCATAGGTCAGGGTGAGTCACCCTCAGTATCATAGATCAAGATGAGTCACCCTCAGTATCATAGGTCAGGGTGAGTCACCCTCAGTATCATAGATCAGGGTGAGCCAACCTTAGTATCATAGGTCAAGATGAGTCACCCTCAGTATCATAGATCAGGGTGAGCCACCCTTAGTATCATAGATCAAGATGAGTCACCCTCAGTATCATAGATCAAGGCGAGTCACCATTAGTATCATAGATCAAGGTGAGTCACCATTAATATCATAGATCAAGGCGAGTCACCCTCAGTATCATAGGTCAGGGTGAGTCACCCCCAGTATCATAGGTCAGGGTGAGTCACCCTCAGAATCATAGATCAGGGTGAGCCAACCTTAGTGTCATAGATCAAGATGAGTCACCATCAGTATCATAGATCAAGGCGAGTCACCCTCAGTATCATAGATCAAGGCGAGTCACCCTCAGTATCATAGGTCAGGGTGAGTCACCCCCAGTATCATAGGTCAGGGTGAGTCACCCTCAGAATCATAGATCAGGGTGAGCCAACCTTAGTGTCATAGATCAAGATGAGTCACCATCAGTATCATAGATCAAGGCGAGTCACCCTCAGTATCATAGATCAAGGCGAGTCACCCTCAGTATCATAGGTCAGGGTGAGTCACCCCCAGTATCATAGGTCAGGGTGAGTCACCCTCAGAATCATAGATCAGGGTGAGCCAACCTTAGTGTCATAGATCAAGATGAGTCACCATCAGTATCATAGATCAAGGCGAGTCACCCTCAGTATCACAGATCAAGGCGAGTCACCATTAGTATCATTGATCAAGGTGAGTCACCATTAGTATCATAGATCAGGGTGAGTCACCATTAGTATCATAGATCAAGGCGAGTCACCATTAGTATCATTGATTAAGGCGAGTCACCATTAGTATCATTGATCAAGGCAAGTCACCCTCAGTATCATTGATCAAGGTGAGTCACCATTAGTATCATAGGTCAGGATGAGTCACCCTCAGTATCATAGATCAAGGCGAGTCACCATTAGTATCATTGATCAAGGCGAGTCACCATTAGTATCATAGATCAAGGTGAGTCACCCTCAGTATCATAGATCAAGGCCAGCCACCCTCAGTATCATAGGTCAAGGTGAGTCACAAATACCCAGATATGCAGGTTTAGGTCTAGGTCATTATTTAATGGATATTGAACAATTTGTACCCCTAACTCTCCGTAGTAGTAAATAGATAATTTAATATTTGGTGGTGGCAAGTAATTTGATGAAGATTAATCATTTCAAACATCTTTGAATATATCTGTTAACTTTTTATCTAATTTTCTTCCTTTAAACGCAGTATTCATCTTCAAATGCAAAGTTGTTTGTATGTGTAGGCTACTTGTCTGTGTTCTGTAAGCTGTAACCTTTAGTAAGTTCAAGCTTATCTCCTCGTCATATTTCAAATCCTTTGCTTCTGTATGTCTAGGGAAAATTTATGAAAATCATCTTCATCAATAATATATACACGACAAATTAGATATAATCACACACACAAATAGAAACCCTTACTACTACATGATATGACAAGTACAAGTTTTCTGTATTTTCAACAGCGGCCAAAACTGACTGGGGCCCGGTCATTCAGGACGATTTCATTGCAGTGTTCCCACAGCCGCCTCTCAAGGGCCAGGACGTCCGACTGGAATGCTTCGCCTATGGATCGTAAGAATTCATTGTTTACGACAGTGGGGGATGTGAGTGGCTTCGACACAATGGAGGACAATTTCATTAGCATCATTATACATGTGTAATGGAATTGAATATTTTATATTATGGAATTCTCTCTTCTTTGTTTCAAACATTGTCTAAACATTCTTGTCTTTGTCTTATTTACAGAAATATTGACATATTGTGAGGTTAGATACCTTTGAACTTACTTCAGCTTGTATAAATACCTTTATCTCCTGGGGGTAAGGGGTATAACTTTGTCAGCTTCTGTTTACTGTGTTATTGTTTTCTTCTACGATTTTTTAAGTGCAGAAGGACAATTGAAGTTATGAAAAAAATCACACTTTTACTGTGACTGACCCACTCAAATATTATTCCCAGGGCCCAGAACTACATAGACATGTGGTACTACAGCTGGAGCCGAGACGGTCAGCCGATGCCAGAGACCGCCAGGTTTGAGAACTTTCACCGTATATTGGTGATCATGAACGCACGTCTAGAAGATCAGGGCAACTACACTTGTTTAGTTCGCCGTGGCAACAAGGCAGCTGACAGTAAGACACTGTACCTCAGACTGGAGGGTAAGTACCAAACCACTACCTCATACTGGATGGTAAGTAACAAATCACTACCTCAGACTGGATGGTAAGTAACAAATCACTACCTCAGACTGGATGGTAAGTAACAAATCACTACCTCAGACTGGAGGGTAAGTACCAAACCACTTCCTCATACTGGAGCGTAAGTATCAAATCACTACCTCAGACTGGAGGGTAAGTACCAAACCACTACCTCATACTGGAGGGTAAGTACCAAATCACTACCTCATACTGGAGGGTAAGTATCAAATCACTACCTCAGACTGGAGGGTAAGTACCAAATCACTACCTCAGACTGGAGGGTAAGTACTAAACCACTACCTCAGACTGGAGGGTAAGTACCAAACCACTACCATTAATCATTGTAATTTGGCTGCTTCTTCCAAAATAATCATAGGTTGTTAAATTTTGGTGCTGATTTTCTAATTAATATGTGTTTGATATTGCAATTTACTGATCTTCGGCCAATCAGCCCTGTACAGTAAGCCGATACTTAACCATGCACATTGTTATTGATGGTTATGAAACAGAAAAGTTTTAAGCGCTGTTATCTACAGCAGCTTGTGGACACGCTCTCTGCACCCCTGGAATATGTCATAGCAAAAGTGAAGACTCGGTGTGCGCCATTTTCTGGATGAGACAAGAAGGCTAGATTTATCCTTCGATGTTCATCAGAAGAATCTGTTGGTCATGCAATAGTAAAATTGACTGGCTTTTAAGTCCGGTGTCAATCCTCTGTAATCTTCACAGGACAGGTATCAGCCTAGCGATTGGTCAAGTTTTTTTTTACCCGAGACCAATCAAATAGCTAGCCTTGTGCCTTCAATTTTGCTATGACATTTACTCCAAAGGTGCACAGAGTAAAAGTGAGTGTAACCCCTGGAGTATCGAGGATGTCCATCTGCATGCTTTGTTGTATTTGGAATGATGCTTTCATTATCTCATTTAAAACATACAGGACATCAGGCAATATCAAACTTTTACTGGCAAGAATAGATATCTAATTATGTTGATACACATATGAAGCGGTAAAAATAAGTACAAAATGATAAAATAGGAAAATGGTACGTTTTAAATCAGGAATTTTAAATTCTGAATGTAGTTATATATCATTGTTTTAAAGACTGGCACTTTCGCTCCAAGTTTTAAACAAAACAAAACATAACCACATCCCAATATCCCAATTTGATAGTATAATTAATCTACATGTCTGTTTGATAGTCAATGTGTTACATTGTAGCCAAGCCATACTTCATACTGCCACTGCAGAACCAGCATGTGGATGTGGGCGGTCAGTTGACTTGGCGCTGTGAGGCCAATGGCTATCCTTCCCCAGTGTATCAGTGGTATAAAAATGGTGTCGTACTCACCAACTCTCAGGATGGGCAACTGACCATCACTGGCAACAACCTGGTGATCAGGTCCCTGGATAAAGTTACGCATGACGGAATGTACCAGTGCAGTGCCACCAACGTCCATGGCACCAGCTTCAGCTCTGCACAGCTCAGAGTCTTAGGTAAGTCATGGTACCAGATCAGCACAGCTCAGAGTCTTAGGTGTGTCATGGTACCAGTTCAGCACAGCTCAGAGTCTTAGATGAGTATTGGTACCAGCTCTGCACAGCTACGAGTCTTATGTGTGTCATGGTACCAGTTCAGCACAGCTCAAAGTCTTAGGTGAGTATTGGTACCAGCTCTGCACAGCTCAGAGTCTTAGGTGTGTCATGGTACCAGTTCAGCACAGCTCAAGAGTCTTAGATAAGTATTGGTACCAGCTCTGCACAGCTCAGAGTCTTAGGTGAGAATTGGTACCAGTTCAGCACAGCTCAGAGTCTTAGGTGAGTAATGATACCAGTTCAGCACAGCTCAGAGTCTTAGGTGAGAATTGGTACCAGTTCAGCACAGCTCAGAGTCTTAGGTGAGTCATTGTACAAGCTCAGCACAGCTCAGAGTCTTAGGTGAGTATTGGTACCAGATCAGCACAGCTCAGAGTCTTAGGTGTGTCATGGTATCATTTCAGCACAGCTCAAGAGTCTTAGGTGTGTCATGGTATCATTTCAGCACAGCTCGAGTCTTAGGTAAGTATTGGTACCAGTTCTGCACAGCTCAGAGTCTTAGGTGAGAATTGGTACCAGATCAGCACAGCTCAGAGTCTTAGGTGAGTATTGGTACCAGCTCTGAACAGCTCAGAGTCTTAGGTAAGTATTGATGGTACCAGCTCTGCACAGCTCAGAGTCTTAGGTGAGTCATGGTACCACCTAAGGGTCCTAGGTTGGTAAATATGTCCATAATGCCTATTCAAATAGGCCAAAGGTCAAGATTGTGATCTCTGGTAAGAGGTCAAATTGAGGGTTGTATGTTACCTGTAAATCACCTGACAAATCTAGGTGACATAGGGTGGATTTAGGGAGGATCAACTGTTCATTTTTGACCAAATATAGAGATGAAGAGTAACAATAGTGTTATTTGTCAAAGTTTTTCACTCGGCAGTTTTCAGGCTAACATAAGGTCCAAAAGCACTCACCTGTCATGTTGTTTATACAGTGTATTTCCTTATGGAAAATTGGATGCATGTCTGTGAATCCTCGATCTGTACATACAGTTTGTCATTCCTTGAATTGTAAAATAGAAATAGTATAACTATTGCCTTTGTGTGTGAAGTAAAATTGTTCCTGAACTTATTTCCTAAAAGTACTTTATTTTCCAGACTTTGACCACGCCATTGCATATTCTTCGTTTCCAGCTTTCCCTCCCAGTTTTGCCAAGTATCCAGTTGTGGAGGAATTTATCGGAGCATTAAATGGCAACCTGACCATTGTATGTAAACCGGAGGCTGCCCCCAAGGCAGTGATCACATGGCTGAAAAACGGGGCCAACTTGAACCTACGGGTATCATCCACCGAGACAGGGGACCGCGTGAGACTTCTTCCGAATGGCTTCCTCTACATGACACAACTGACCTACGGGGATAACGGCTTGTATACCTGTGTGGCTGAGAATTCACTGGGAAAAGCCACTAGTTCAGGCCGGCTTACAATCAAACGTGAGCTTTACCAGATTGTTTGTATTAACAGAGATCATCTCAGAATTTATTAGTCTTAAAGTTTTGAAATCACGCATAGGTAAATACAGGTTCTAAAGTTCAGGATTACTCAGTAGGGCAGGGATATTATATCAAAATACCTTGTTTTTCTCTTTCTCACTCTCCACTGTTTGGTTTCGGTAAATGGTACTACATGAAATACTATTGAAGTAAACAAGTAGTGGAATATCTCTTTTTTCGTCATTCTTTAACAGAGGGCACTGTCATAACCCGCGGCCCAATACCAGTAACCAAAGTAGTGATGAATGAGACGGCCTTTCTGCCGTGCGAGGCCTCCTATGATGTCAATCTTGACCTTGTGTACGAGTGGAAGTTCAATGGCCATACACTTGACCTTGCTGTGGATGTACATTACAAAATTGTAAGTGATTTCTCTAACTTCTTCATACATACAGTGGAATCTTAACAAAATAATAAGTAATCTGGATGTTTGTGTGATGTCAGATTAAGATAAGGGAAACAGGATGTTTGTGATGTCAGATTAAGGTAAGGGAAACAGGTTGTTTGTGATGTCAGATTAAGATAAGGGAAACAGGATGTTTGTGATGACAGATTAAGATAAGAGAAACAGGATGTTTGTGATGTCAGATTAAGATAAGGGAAACAGGATTTTGTGATGTCTGATATCGTTAGATATGTTCTTTTAGTTCCCGAAGAGTTATTGATTGATTTAATTGGCATTGCCTGAAGAAGTCACAGATTTATTATGTACTAATGTGGAGGATATGTGAAGGTTGATGTTACAGGCCAATTGTGACTCTTGCTGGTATGTTAAACATTTGTAACTTATTATTGCATTGTTCCACAAAAAAAAAATTGTACTGCCAGATCTATTTCTCTATTAGATTTAATACTGTGTAATATTGAGTAATACACAGTATTCCAAGCTACATCATAAAAGATTGATGTTGGGTAAGTCTTTGATTATCCCATTGATCCTCCAAGATATATTACATGTAAACATACTTTTCTGCAAAAGTTTTATAGAATACCTTCAGAATTTTCAGTATTTTGATCATTATTTTTTTGTGCCAATAAAATGTGCTTGCCAAAGTTCATGTGAACAGGTAAGCTATACAGGCCCAATGAACCTCTTGTTTTTCATACAAGCAAGTTTTTTTTTGTTCACAGGAGGTTTCATCATACCTGAAGGGCTTATACATTCAAAATGTTCTCTTCAAACACCGAGGAATTTATGAGTGTGTTGCTAAAACTCCACTGAATCAGGCCTACGCCTCAGGCTCTCTAGAAGTTCTTGGTAAGTAAAATTTGTATCAAAAGTTAAAATATTGATGGTAGCCTCAAATAGTTAAACATTGTTTGAAAATCACTCTAAAAAACATTTTGCCTTACAATTTATTATGTCTCCATTTATAATAAAAGGTATTCTTATGAAAGTGCAAAATAGTAGGTAAGATCTTGTCTGGTCTGTAACTTTTAAACATTTACAAATTATCTCACTGAAACCCAAAGTATACCTTGATCAAACCCTCATTACCCACTTAGGGAGTGCAGTATAACTTAATAAAGTTACCATGACCTTCATCTCAAGGTCAAAGTTCAATCCATGCTGAATTTCAAGTAAAATGTTAGAGGTTGAAACCTTTTAGTGTACTTTCGACTGTATTCAGACCTTGAAAAGTTATTTTCTTATGCATACAAATATAGTTAAAGATTGAAGGCCTGTATGGGGAGTAACAACATCATTACCAGTAAAATATAATGTTGCAGAAAAGTTTAAGAAACAACACAATGTGGCCGGGGTCAGGAAACTCTATTCCTGTTTTAAAACATTGTTGAGGCAAACTTTAAATCACAGTAAGTCCAGCAAACGTAGGGCATAATTGATTTATGAGAATGTTTGTTTTATGTAAATGAAAACCTTGTATGGAGTTTAGTTAGGACAGGTTTCATTGTATGAACACTACACATTACTCTAACATTGATTAATAGCTGCATCAATTTGATTGATTAATTTTGAAGGACCGCCTGGAGAACCTGCAGGAGTGTTTGGGGACTCTAAGACCGTGACCGCATACTCAATACGATTACACTGGTTCCCGGGCCACGATAATGGGCGTACAATCATTTACAACCTCATACAGTCGGAGATGGAGTATGACCCAGGAGTGTGGAGAAACGAGGTCGAGAGTAAGTACAGATGTAAACAAGGTCCAGAGCAAATAAAATGTATACGAGGTCCAGATTAAGTAAAAGTGTAAACAAGGTCCAGAACAAAGACAGTGTATAAGAGATCCAGATTAGGTAAGTAAAAGTGTAAACAAGGTTCAGAGCAAATAAAGTGTATACGAGATCCAGATTAGGTAAGTAAAAGAGTAAACAAGGTCCAGAGCAAATAAAGTGTATACGAGATCCAGATTAGGTAAGTAAAAGTGTAAACAAGGTCCAGAGCAAATAAAGTGTATAAGAGGTCCAGATTAAGTAAAAATGTAAACAAGGTCCGGAGCAAATAAAGTGTATATGAGGTCCAGATTAAGTAAAAGTGTAAACAAGGTCCAGAACAAAGAAAGTGTATAAGAGATCCAGATTAGGTAAGTAAAAGTGTAAACAAGGTCCAGAGCAAATAAAGTGTATAGGAGATCCAGATTAGGTAAGTAAAAGTGTAAACAAGGTCGAGAACAAAGAAAGTGTATAAGAGATCCAGATTAGGTAAGTAAAAGTGTAATCAAGGTCCAGAGCAAATAAAGTGTATATGAGATCCAGATTAAGTAAAAGTGTAAACAAGGTCCAGAGCAAATAAAGTGTATCAAGGTCCAGAGTATGTTCAGATGTAAATGAGTGCCTGATTGAGTGCAGGCGTAAACAAGGACTATAGTGAGTACAGGTGTAAATGAGGTCCAGAGTAAGGACAAAATGTACGAGATCTGGACTGAGCACAGGTGAAATAAGATCCTGAGGTGTAAATGAAGTCCAGAGCAAGGATTTAAGTGTAAAGAAGGTCCAGATTGCCTCAGGTGTAAAAGACTTCAAGCTTGAAAGGTGTGAAAAATTAGATTAAGTAAAAGTATTAATGATGTCCATTCTGGTTACAGGTGTAGACGTGGTCCAGTTCTGACCGTTGACCATGACGAATCAAACTGAAGAAGTTTAGTGTGAACATATTTGTTCCCTACTTTCAGATATTCCAGATATAGACACCGTTGTTGCAACCACTGATAACAACGACATGCATAGTTACGTTGTGACTGGCCTGCGTCCTGGAAACGGTTATCGCTTCCGTGTCCAGGCAGTGAACACCTTTGGGTATGGAGAGTTCAGCATCCCTTCTGACATCTACCAGACTAACCCGGCCCCTCCATCTGTCGCGCCCTCCAACATCCGTGGGGGAGGAGGCAGTGTAGCGGACCTCACTATGAGATGGGATGTAAGTCTGAACATTATTTAGCTTATATAAAGTGCGTCCAAAATCTTAGTGTGGCATGGATTCTGCAGTTCAAGGTTGTTTCATTTGACCTCTAATATATGGTAACTTTGAAATTAAAATGAAATAGTGGGTAGCTCCACTTACATTTTAGTTAGTATTGCTCTACCTGCGGTGGTAGCTATTTCATTCAATTCTTCTGTTTTAAAGCACCTGACTTTGTTCGAATCGTAAGCACATTTCAACTCTTTCTGCTCATGGCAGCCATTGAAAGCATCCCATAATATCTTTAATTGTACCAACTCTTGTCAGATGATCCGAGTGATGTCACAGTTCAGGGTAACAACCTACATGAGTAGAATACGTTTTTTTGGTTTCAGACATGCAACAGCAGAATAAGGAAATATGTGCTAGGCCTCGTAGAAAATTTGAGCTTCGAAATCTGCGTTTAACGAGCCTTAAATTTGACAAAGGAAAACCATTTTTACACTTGAGAAGTTAAAATATTTAAGCGCCATTTGAAAACAATTAAAAATAAGAATCTCCCATCAAAACAAAAATGCACTACAAAGTACGATGAAATAGCAAATAATGATAACTAGTGAAACCTGATGACTATTTAATTTCAAATTTCGATCGTAACCTTATTTCACACTAGATTTAGACCATAGTGATGGAGATTAACCAGATGTACGAAAACTTAATTGAAAGTTGAGCAATAATCATCTTATCTTTGTATGCGCACATTGCTGATGGTTGTTTGGGTTACAGAAGCTGCACCGTATAGACCACGGTGGACCAGGTGTGGGCTATTACCTGTACTGGAGACTGTTTGACCCCAACCCTATCAACGACGGTGTCAAGTACAACCACGTAAGTATTAGTGCCCGCGGAAAATGATTTCTGTTTGTAAGTGGCTTCCATATGCTCTTGTTTACGTGTTAGGGTTGTTTTATATGTCGTATGATTGTATTTGACATCACTGCAACAGTATTGCAGTATGTGTATTTGCAGTTCGAGATCATTACCATCTTGGACTGTGTAAAGTTCAAACCAGATAATGAAATAAAAAAAATATCTGGATTTTTATTATGAAAGGAAAAAATGTACCAAGATAAAAATGCTGTATAAGTCCACAATAAAACGTCCTGACAATGATATTTAATGCAGTTTTAAACCTAGCTAGACTATTTTTACTGTAATAGGGTATTGCTGAAACTCTATACATAAAGAACAGATTTATTTACTATTGTTTCAAATGCACCAGGATTTAGAAAATATGAAGGGATTGATTTTAAGTGTCATAAGATCTGCTTAGAACCAAAGTTTGTGAATCATCAAGGCTACAGTAGGAGTGTTCTACATATTTCTCACATCGATTTAGTGATGTGTGTGATATTTCAGAAAATAATAACCGACTACACAGTGGAGGAGTATGTGATGTTGGTTGGGGAAAACAACTTCTACCTCCAGTATGAGGTCAAGATACAAGCATTCAACGACTATGGCAGGGGACCTAACTCCAGTGTGGTTCTTGTCTTTTCTGCAGAGGGCAGTAAGTAGGGACTGCATTTGTACATTTGGTTTTATGTTTTTGATACTCAGTCTTGTAAATCTTGGTATGCTAGGAAAATTTAGTTACTATATTGTTGCATGATCTGGGATCAATCTAGACTTTATTCACTACCGTTTTTGGGTATTTTCGAATTCCCCTACAGAAGGAAATATCTCTGTTCTTTGAAATTCCCCCTATGTGCTTCAAAATTCCCCTATTTCAACAAGAAAATAGCTGTTTTTTCTTCAAAATATTTCCGTTGTATGTTTTCTATAAAGTTCAACAGTTAGAATGCATTATACTGCATATATACATTTTCTCCACTTAATTTAAACAAAGATTCTACAATTTCAAGCCTTAAAATTGTTTAAAAATTGAAATATACTGCACACATGTATGTCGGACAAAACCTTTATCTTTTATCTTCATGACGCTAGAACCTTGAATCAAAATTTAAATTTCCCCCCAATCTGAAAAAGGTTAGATTCCCCTAAAACCTAGATTGATCCCTGATGATATACATGCCATAGGTCAATAGTAAGTTTTGACCTTATATATCCATACAGACACTTAATTATTGATGATTAAAAGACAATACAATTACACATACATGTATTAAAGTCTGATCAATAGTTACATTGTGGGATAGTAATAGTGCTTGTTCCCTCAACACAGATATTGAGAATAAAGCCTCTTACAAGAAGTAAAAAAAAAATCCCTGAAAATCTCAATCAATGCCACTCGAAGTGAGAGCGGTCACATGTCTGATTGACAGCAATAGTATTTGAAAGGTCTCTGTGTCCTTAACAGATCTTAATTAACCTACAGATGAAATCATTACAGTGATGTTTTGTTTTATTAGCTCACCTACAATGTAACATGAACTGCCTCAATGAGATGATTATGTCTGGCAAGGCAGTTATGACTGTACATTTTTTCAGTGCCGATCGCTGCACCTCAGGGTTTGTACTGTGATGGCTACAACGCCACTGCTATGACAGTCACATGGGAGACAGTACCTGACACCCGGGAGACGATGAAGGGCCGTGTCAGGGGGTACCAGGTATGTATGGCTGGGAAGGGGTGTCAGGGGGTACCAGGTATATATGGCTGGTAGGGGGTGTCAGGGGGTACCAGGTATGTATGGCTGGTGGGGGTTACCAGCTATATATGGCTGGTGGGGGTGTCAGGGGGTACCAGGTATGTATGGCTGGGAAGGGGTGTCAGGGGGTACCAGGTATGTATGGCTGGGAGGGGGTGTCAGGGGGTACCAGGTATGTATGGCTGGTAGGGGGTGTCATTGGGTACCAGGTATGTATGGCTGGTAGGGGATGTCAGGGGTTACCAGGTATATATGGCTGGTGGGGGTGTCAGGGGGTACCAGGTATGTATGGCTGGGAAGGGGTGTCAGGGGGTACCAGGTATGTATGGCTGGGAGGGGGTGTCAGGGGGTACCAGGTATGTATGGCTGGTAGGGGGTGTCAGGGGTTACCAGGTATGTATGGCTGGTAGGGGTTGTCAGGGGTTACCAGGTATGTATGGTTGGTAGGGGTTGTCAGGGGTTGTCAGGGGGGTACCAGGTATGTATGGCTGGTTGAAGGTTCAGTGGTTACTTTAATATCCTTGACTGAAGTCAAGGATATTGAAGTTGAAATATAATGGTAGAAATGAGGTATTAATGCAGTTGTGTGTGTTTCCAGATAAACTACTGGTTCAGTGAGGATACCGACCCTGTCTACAAACTGTACATCCGTTACCCGGGCCAGGTGGATGAGGCAGTAGTCATTGGACTGTGGGACGACTCTAACTTCTGGTTTGAGGTACAGGTCTACAACACAGCGGGGCTTGGACCACTCAGTGAGAAATTCATCCAGGAAACCCTACATCTTGGTAAGTTTTGATATTGATGCTAGAGGCATGTAGTGTTAGCAACCTCTGTCCCGAATATCTTCAGGACAGTTTTCAGACTTTTCCTCGTCTCCGTCGGACATATCATCCTTATAACAGTTAAACCAAAATGACAGTCATCATAGAACATCGCACATTGTCACGTCCTGGACAGGTGTGTCATTAACAGGTGTCGTAAACTATTATAGGCTGGACAGGGATGTAATTAAACGGGGTCGTAAACTAGTATAGGCTGGGCAGCTGCGTAATTAACAGGGGGCGTAAACTAGTATAGGCTGGGCAGCTGCGTAATTAACAGGGGTCGTAAACTATTATAGGCTGGGCAGGTATGTAATTAAAAGGTGTCGTAAACTAGTATAGGCTGGGCAGCTGCGTAATTAACAGGTGTCGTAAACTATTATAGGCTGGACAGGTATGTAATTAACAGGTGTCGTAAACTAGTATAGGCTGGACAGCTGCGTAATTAACAGGTGTCGTAAACTATTATAGGCTGGACAGGTGTGTCATTAACAGGTGTCGTAAACTATTATAGGCTGGACCGGTGTGTAATTAACAGGTGCTGTAAACTATTTATAGGCTGGGCAGGGGTGTAATTAACAGGGGTTGTAAACTATTATAGGCTGGACAGGTGTGTAATTAACAGGTGTCGTAAACTATTATAGGCTGGACAGGTGTGTAATTAACAGGTGCTGTAAACTATTTATAGGCTGGACAGGTGTGTAATTAACAGGTGTCGTAAACTATTATAGGCTGGACAGGTGTGTAATTAACGGGTGTCGTAAACTATTATAGGCGCTTTCATGAACGGTTAAGGTCAGTGGGCTTGACCTTTATGGATATACAAGGTCAAACTAGGTCACTAAAGGCCAGTTGATATTTCACTATGGAACCTTTGTTTATGGATCTAAAAACCAGGTGAGTGATTCAAGTTTCCTTGGCCTCTTTCTTTTCTTACAACATCCAGTGTTCGATGTTAAATTGTATAGACCCCTGATCGATGTTAAATTGTATAGACCCCTGATCGATGGAAATTGTATAGATCCCTGTTCGATGTTAAATTGTATAGACCCCTGATCGATGTTAAATTGTATAGACCCCTGATCGGTATTTTATTGTGTTTTCAGCTCCCCAGTTGTACCCGCAGGAAGTCCATGTATTCTCCCACGGATCAAACAGTGTACGCCTGCAGTGGCGAGGAGTCAGCACAGCGGTAGAAGAAGCTGTCCTCTTGGGCTATTACGTAAATAACGTTTCCCTGTACTTGTTATCTAGCATGGTGTGATTTGTAATCCATCTTTTGATAACTACAAGATAAGGTTTCGATAAACCTAATACATCTAATACAGTTCTTCATTAGAGTTCAAATGACAAGATACTCAGTGCTTGAGAAAAAGTTCCTCATCTATGCTTTGATTGTAGTTTATAAAGATGATCTGAAACATGACCTGAAAGTTATTAGTCCTTTTAACTTAGTAACAGATTAACCTCATTACTTCTTAAGCTCAAGAGGAAAAATCAGTCAACTAGATTATTACCATTATTTTACAGAAGCTTCTACTGGTTAAAACAAAATTCTTCTGATGCTTTAGATTTGTGGGGAGTCTTGCCAAAGTGTTTTGGGATTCTGGGGTGTTGCAAACTTCCACTCGTGTACTTGTAGAAAGTATACGAAGAAAGGTTTTCGACAAATTTCGATGGGCATGTACGTGTGTTGTAATGCTGATTTTTGCTTACATGTGACAGATTTACCTATGGCCGGCCAATGAGCACTACAGGACAGCCAAGATGATAGAGACGGAGAAGTTTGATGTGGAATTCGTCCTCAATGACATAGACAAGGGGAAGGTGTACGCTGTGAGAGTGGCTGGCTTCAGTGATGGAGGAGAGGGCAAGAAGTCCCCCACACTGTACTTCACTCTAGGTAAGATCAGCTTACTTAGCTTGATTTTAAAACTGTACAATTTGTGCAAGTCGTCAAATTCTATTTTTTGTGTCTGTAACAAAGGATTTGCTCATAACAGCTAGATATTTAACTTTATTATTTTGCTTGAATTGTGGGGGGGAAAATGAAACACTTTTTTGTTAAAACACTTTTTTTTCTGTGTTTTACCTCAAATTGAAACATACCGAAATAACCTAAAGATAATGTTCTCTCCTTCTACAGGTGGTCAGGTACCCATCGACCCCACAGTGTCAGAGATCCGAGCAGGTGCCCCTCCCTCAGGCTCTTCCATTCTCCTCCTGCTTGTAGTATCCCTTGCACTGATGTTCCTGTGAGACAGCAGCTGTTCCGTTATCCTCCTGCTGACTGTTTCCCTTGAAATGCTGTTTTTGTGAAATTTGAGCAGTTCCAATATCCTCCTGATGAAAATCTTGACTTAATAACTGTGGTATATAATAGCAATAGTTATGATGCAGAAACCAGGAGTAAGGATGGGGCATGGACATTGTATGGAATTGCCAATTTTGTTTTTAAAAAAATGTTAGAGAATCGACAAGTTTATGCTGAATAATCTTTATTTTTATCTCCTGCAAAAAAGGTTAAAGACATGCAGGTTTATAAAATGTGCCTTAAAGTTGATAAATGTATAAGATATAACTGTGATAGTCAGTAACGTGTGTTTCTGTTTTTACAAACCACATATAGTACCTGTTATATTGATCAAAATGTTTTACGATATTTCAAATCTACAACCAATGTTCGAGACACATTTTTTTCCCGAGAATCAGAAACAATTATATGTTGTCCTTTTAAATGACTTCTTATTTTTAAATTGTACATACACTAAAAGTTTGTAAATAGGTATGCTCATAGTGAGAGCTATTATGGTAAGGGGTAACCATCGGGTTAAAAGATTGTTTACCAACGTCACTGTTACCAGCTAATTTGAAATATGAAGTCCTTTTCAACACAAGTGTTCCATGTTAATTTCATGTGGTATGAATTTTAAAGGGTTATGGCCGCTGAAGATTTGAATATTTGTATACAAAATAACACAAACAAAACAAAAAACATAAAAACCAAAATAAAAGGTGAAGGGATCAAACTCTGAGGAGACCTTTGCACTGTCATTGTTGCTATCTGTGAATTTAAATGATCCACAACAAAGATTGGAGTTTATATGAGGGCTGCAAAGCCTACAGGAAAAAATGATGGAACATTTAGAGATGAAAGGGAAGTTACTCCGAGACAGTCGCACTCCTTTTGACTGCTACATCTGTATCTTCTATATAAAGGAGAAAACTGCCAGTTGGGTAAAACAGGAAAGTGTAACTCTTCATTACCGTGGTACCTTTTACCTTAAAGAGCTAACTAGCTGAAAGGTACTATGTAGTTTATCAGGGATACATGATTACTACAAAAGAAATATTTTATAAATTGATTTTAGGGAGTGAGAATTGAATTCTGCTGCCAAATATTTTGTGTATTTGCCTTATATTTCCTTATACACATGCTGGTCATGGGTAATTGACCGGGAGAGGGGGGTCAGGGAAAGGGTTTGGGGAGATAAAGTGGGATGGGGGTGGGGATTGGGGTAGGGGNAAATCGGGCAATATCAGTGATGTCAAGTTCTGATCAATGAGTTTATTGTACAGTGTATTGAATTACATTTTTAAGGATATATCGTACATTTTTAAGGATATCATTTCATATTTTTATTCCACTTTTCCATATATATATAATATGTCATTCTTTATTTCGTTTCATAGAAATTAAACAGTGGGTTGCTTTTTTATCAGTAGCCCAGCCTCCACCATTATCATCCACGAGTTTTGTGAACGACTTAATTAACGTAGTCTGAAGGGATTTTTCTTCATTAGTTTGGTTGACTGCACGAATTCAACTTTTGCAGCGAAATACTAAATTTTATCATATAAAGGAGTTTAGCTGTAAATGCTTTGAAGCATCATTGGGCCTAGGGGATTTAATTTTTATAAGTTACCTGGGTTTTAACAAACTTTGTTGTGCTGAGACCCCTTAACTTTTGGAAACTTAAGGTTTCTCACTAAGACTGCTCATTAATTATTTACTTTAGCCTTATATCACTTCCATGGATTCCCCAGAGCTTTTTATTTTATGAACTTATGTATTTTAATATGGAACTATTTTATCATAATATAGAACTATTTTATCATAGCAACTTTTTAAGCAATTCTTTAAAAATAGGGTATGTTCCCAGCTGGTGAATTATTTTGTTCATACCGATATGAATGATATATAGAACAGACCTAAAGATAATTAAAAAGCATGTGAGCGCTTCAGGTCCCTAATTAGTTGTTAAACCATTGTTCATAAACAAAATTATTCATTTATGTTTAAGGCTAGATCAATTTTTTTCATCTTAGACACTTGCCAAATTAGACACTAACTGAATACAGGTTTTAACAGCCAAGGCGAACGTTTCCCAGTAAACAGTTCCTTCATGATACTTATTAATGTCTCTTGGTTGCGGCAATTAATTGCAAATGAAATGTTATTTTGCAGTCATTATTTAGATTAAACCAGTACAAGAACTGAATCGTTACTATATATGGTTAATCATTTGGATACATTTCTGATAGGAAACGGTCTAAGAATTAGGTACTAGATATTTAGAACCAACAAAGAAGTCTTTCTCTTATGAAATATGTAGATTCATTTATTTCCTTCTTCGTGGAATTTTTCGCCGGAAACTGTAAAACTTTGTATAGACGTTTTGTGTTAACTGCTTCATAAAGTAGCCAGAGAGGAATTAATTTACATGGAAATAAAATATGTAAAAACTACCAACAATTAGCGACAGTATAATGTGTAGTTAAATGAAATTTTAACCCTGCAAAATGAAAGCTCAATACAGCAATTTAAATAATATGTATTTACTGTTATCCTTGAGATTTTGTACATGTCCATTATCTTCATATCATTTTGTTTTGTTTCTGTTTTCTTCCCAGACCAGCAATGAAAATATAACATTTTGTCACTAATAAAATGTCTTCAACAAACCAAATAAATCTTTTTATATAAAAATATTTGTATTGTGTTTTGTTTTTTGATGTATAGCACAATTATACCCTTCATCTTTTCACACACCCATCTGACCTATAGGGTTTACTTATGTAAAGGAGGATACTAGTGCAACATGGCATTCCATAAGCCAAGAGCCATCTTAGTTAGCTGAAATGGAGTCTTCTAGGAAAGATGATCATATAAGAAACCTGTTGTTAAAACGCAAGTACTAGATAAGTAATTCATCGAAAATTTCTAACTGTGTGTGTTTGTATGTGTGTGTATTTTGTTAGTTTCTTTTGAGCATAACTGTTGATTGATTTATTGTGGTGCTTGAATTACTGCCCTTGGACCGAGGATTGACCCAAGATTGCATTTCCACTGCAGGAAGTACCTATGCACAGAGGTTTAATGTTAGGAAGCGTGCTCCATGTAGAGTTGAATAGCTGTCTGGAGATGTTATAGTATACGTCTGGCAATAAGTCCATTTCTGTTAATTAGCCCACCTACATAATTATATATATATATATATCAATTAATTGCCCTGATGGACCTCTAAAGAGGAGAAAGCGCTAGGGATGTCGAAGAAACACTTATATATAGCTAGGCATTTCAAAAAGGTTAACTATTAATTAAAAAGATATGCAGTTAACGATCTATCAAAGTGAAGGCAAAATTGCTCTGTTTTTAAATTAAATCAATTTATATGTGATTAATATATTTTTTAATTGACATTTTGTGAAAGTTGTTATATAATAAAACACATTTTGACTACATATTATAATAAAAAAAATTAGGATGAATTATTGTTATTATAAATGGGCTCTCGTACAGTAATATGTCCGCAGACCTCTGGGCAATATTTCCATAATTTATACGGATGATTCTAAGGTCTACTGTGAAGTTATTATACAGTTAAGTACGAGTTACTTCCCTTGTATTACAAAAAAGACCGCCTTTACATAGCTGTAATTCGGAGCTGTGCTTTTGTTGCAAAACAGTTCCCAATGTGGTTAGATAAGAGTATAACGTACGTGATTAATCCTTCATAAGAGAGACATAACATCAGTTGCACCACTAGACGTGCCATTTCCCTGGACAGTGGGGAGATAGGTCAACGAGGATAACATATTCACCCTTCAGTAGAGGAAGGCCGTATACATTATCAAGGGTGGAGAAGATCACGTTAAATCGACAAAATGAACCACCAGGATTCTGTTGAGAGGCAAGTGTGCAAAAAAGGCGAAAGCTGGTGTGATGTGTTTTAATGTTACGTGCTACCAGATTAGGGACGTGGGTTTATGAACAGATGAAGTTGTACACAGCTAGTTGGGCACACATACTTCCGTATCAATCAATATACGTGTATAAACATATACTAGATATGTATATGATTATATGATATATCATACATGGTATATATATACCTATATAGTTTGCGGATTCAACACCTACTATAGGGCCGGTTGAAGTGACCTTTCTCATTTTAAGGTAGCCTAGCTAGACCATACATGGAGGTCATGTGACTTGTGTATTTTTCTTGTAAAATCTCTTACCCCCGGCCCCTACTCCTCCCCGAAGAGTGTGTATTCACTATAAATGAAATCACTTTAGTACGTTTCATTTACGAAATCTTTTGTGTATATCGCATAGAAGAAGTACCGATTATCGGGCGACTCAAAACGAAAGTAGGAAACAGCATGGCGTGATAAGATTCCTAGTTTCGGTTTGACTCGACTGGTTACACAAACAATAATGTTGGGGATTCTCACAAAACCATTCGGTACAAGATTATTATAGAAAAAATATACATGAACACATTTGACACCAAGTTGTTTTTTGTGTAAAAGAAGAATCTTCACTATAGTGCCCTAGACTTTGACAAGTATAATGCATAGTGTAGACTACTGGGCCCTCTTGTATAAAACATCTCAACTCTTGAGATTTCCTCAAGTCTAAGATTTCCCATAGACGATACATTGCTTGAGATTTTCCTTAATTTTGAGATGTTTTATTCAAGTGACCCCGGGTAAACTTATAACGCATTAGGTAAAAAAAAAATGTAGGGCAGGTCGGCCATTTTTTAATAAATAAAAAAATATGGATAGGGGGTCAATTTAAGAATATTTAAAAAACAGAATACTAACCATATCTTTAGGTCTTTAAAATAATTATATGGGATCTAATTTTGGTTTTGGTACTGCCTATGAAGAAAAGAGGGGTATATAGTTATATTGTTGCCTGGTTTGTTTGTCCATCAATTTGTTTGCTTCCGCTTGACAGGTTATACAAACACTGGATAGATTGAGTGCATGTGATCGAGTGAGATAAAACTGTAAGGGTCGAAGTTAAAAATGTGGTTGGTCGGATTACCAGTAACAAACAATTATTTTGGCCCTACACTCCCCAAAGTTCATGACTACCAGTGGCTAACTCTTTCTTGTCAGTAAAAATTCCAGGGGCAAAAAGAATTAACATCCCTGCAGTTGGTTAGCGAGAATGTTTTATTCATATCTAGGTATCTGGAAGTTTTATGTGGATTATGATCGCATCAATGATGAATGTAGCTAGGGTTACGGTACTAAAAGGATGTTGTTAATTTGATACATTTTATTGACTATAGTTTAATATAATGACATGATCCTGTCAATAATGTGACCGATTTATTGTTGTATCGGCCTCGATTTACCCAAGTGAAATCGGCCCAAGGTAAAATCGGCCCTATGTAAACATGGAATATACATAAATGTTATAATAATCCCTTTCTTTGGGTTTCATTTATATATCAACCTCTGAACATATACATTTAAATTAATAAATTCCTTTAGCATTTCCTTGTCTCAGTCGCGAGTTCCACAATGGGAGGTAACCTGTACTAATGTGATCTGTTATATACGTCGCGTAAGATAGTTATCATTTTGTGTGTAATCTGAAACACTGACATTATTTAATTAGATTTAATTATTCGAATGATTTTTTTTTATATGATTAATGAGGAAGTTAGCCGATGCATACAGTCTGGTAGGCGAACATCATTGTTTGTGTAAGGCAATAAAAACAAAACAACAACACCAGTACGTAATTCAATAGATCCTTTACTGTATTTATTTAAATATAATTCTATTTATAAATGTATAAATCCCATGTATTTAACATATAGATAGTAGGGCCGATTTCACCTGGGTAAAATAGGCCTGGCCGATATAACCAATTACCATGTGACCGGTAACTTTTTCTGGAAAAGAAGGGATAGCTTTATAAAGTCAAACTCCGGTTCAGTATTTATTGTTTTCTAACTACCAGTTCCTTTACATTCACTTCTCGGATACATCAACAATGCACAGGAGATGCTGGTGCCCTATATATGTAATCATTCTGTCTGTTAATCTAATTTCTCTGTCATTCTGTCTGTCGATCCTTCTCTCTGTCATTATGTCTGTCTGTCCACACTTTTGTTTCTGGACATTATCTGGGAAAGGAAAAGACAAATCTTTTTGAAATTTGACATGGTGATACACTGTGTTATGTAGCAGGGGTTTATCTAGGCCTTTTTTTACTAACGGTAATGGGTAGTTTCCCCATGTGTGCTTATTTTCCCTTAATTTCAGTAAATTGTTTAAAAATCCCCTAGATTTTGTTAAAACTTTGTGAAATAATTATATTTCTTAGATTTTTGGTGCTATTTTACATTTTGTTTTTTCAAAAGCAGGTTTTTGGTGTAGAAAAAAATTCCCTCATGAGATTTAATTTTCCCCTCAATTTAAAAAAAGGTAGTTTTACCTAAATCCTAGATAAACCCCTGTGTAGAGGTGCAATATGGTCAAAAAGCTGTCAAGGTCAAGGTTACTATTACTAAAAATAGACTTGAGGGGTGCGGGTGGGGATCAGGCACATGGCAGGGCCCATGCTGACCTGTCAGTGTTCTTTAGATATCTTTTCTTCAATCCTGAAGTCTTCTTTTTGGTCCAATCTGTGTGTGTGTGTTAATTGAGTGTCCTCTCTTTTATTAGTTTTACTTGTACTAAGGGTGGGACGTATCCTCATGAGATGGACAGCCATCACAGGTGGTCAAATGTCCACTACCCCATGAAGGTTCCCAGGATTCAGTCTGTACCAACAATTATATCTAATGATGCACACCTCCCTTGCTCTTTTCACTACTCTAAAGTTTGTTTCCTGTCCTCTCATCATCAACACCACCATTCCTACAACATTGACTCACAATAACACCTTGTCCTCATTCATTTCATTGCTTTCATCTGACATCATTCCAATTGCTTTTTCTTACATCAATTATATCAATTTCTATCACTTGTAATATTTTTGAGTATATAACAGATTGTCCACCAATCTATTTATATCACAACGTCATAAAAATATTAGCTGTTAAGGTAAAGGTTTCCAACAAGCCTAACTATATTATAAGTCATCACCACTATATACTTGATTAAATCCCCTTTAAAAGAATAAAACATAAATATCATAATTATAGTTATTCAAAATTTGATTGTTTGAATATATATAATTAAAAAAGCCAAAGCGCTACCAATGTTATCATTTGAGAATTATAGATATGCTACATCAGAATGAGTCTCCTAGAATTCATAGCCAATAACTTAAGGACAGAGGAAGTTACCCTAAATCAGAAAAAATCTGTATAAAGGGAGAATACTCCAAGTAAAAAACAAATTGGAACTCTTCTTTGCTATAACTATTGCAGTGGTACTCTTCACCTTAAGAATTGTCTTTTCCATATCTCTATGTGTAACTAAAAGTGACATACTGAGGCATATCTCTATGTGTAACTAAAAGTGACATACTCAGAGACATATCTCTATGTGTAACTAAAAGTGACATACTGAGGCATATCTCTATGGGAAACTAAAAGAGACATACTGAGGCATGTCTCTATGTGTAACTAGAAGTGACATACTGAGGCTACAGTGGCATACTGAGGCGTATCTCTATGTGTAAATAAAAGTGACATACTCAGAGACATATCTCTATGTGTCACTAAAAGTGACATAATGAGGCTAAAGTGGCATACCGAGGCACATCTATATGCGTAACTAAACGTGACATACTGCGGCATATCTCTATGTTTAACTAAAAGTGACAAACTGAGGCACATCTCTATGTGTAACTAGAAGTGACATACTGAGACTAAAGTGGCATACTGAGGCACATCTATATGTGTAACTAAACGTGACATACTGAGGCACATCTCTATGTGTTACTAAAAGTGGTATACTGAGGCACATCTATATGTGTAACTAAAAGTGACATACTGAGGCATATCTATATGTGTAACTGAAAGTGGCATACTGAGGCATATCTCTATGTGTAACTAAAAGTGACATACTGAGGCATATCTTTATGTGTAACTAAAAGTGGCATACTGAGGCACATCTCTATGTGAATCTGTATCAGTGTTTCAGATGATGTTGAAAAAAATAGAGTATTTCAGACATGAAAGCCTGTTGAGTAATTCTGGTGCCAGTTGGAATATTAGAGATGAAGCTGCATGCTAGAGGTTGGCATCCTCAGTGGTTTTTTTTGCCTCTGTGTCCATGGTCAGTGGCTATAAATAGGATTACCTCAAAATATCACAACATATTTTTATTTGTGTCTATGTATGAGTTATAATGTCTGTGATCCAATATCTGCACTAGGTTCGAACAATATATCTTCTATATCTCTCTCAACTGTAGGTGGCTATAGTTATAATTGGTAAATGATTAATATACTTTATCATATGGAGGTATTGGGGTTATGGAGATTCTCCAGCCGGAAGTGTATAACCATTGAATGTAAGAAATGTGAGATGCGTATCCAACATATGGTTCAATAACAACATGAGAGGGATACAGGCGCTTTAGGCCTCATGCTAGAAAATATAACGTCATCGAATCTACATCGAAGACAACAACACAGTTGAATCAGGCAATCATAGGTCTGTGAGGTTGTGTTTCACGGCGCTTGGCTCCTGTTGGTAGAATTGTATTAGTTGGGATGTTATATATGAGTTCTGTCCCTTTTCTAGATTATATTTGCCCCATTGACAACAACGTCTTTGTGACGTTTGATGGGATTGGGTGCCTGTTCACCTGCCCTTAGACATATGTTGTTCTGCTATGTTTCTTGTCATGTGAAGTGAGTTCTTTGACATTTGAGATATCAACACAACACCAACTCAAGCATGTGTACATGACTGTTTTATGGTGGAAATACAGGAGTCATGCACCTAGTCACGCCCCTAGCCACATCTACATACATATTTAACACAAATCGCTAGCAGATTCATGTAATATTTATGGAAGTTTTGTTGTTGTTCATACTTTTATAACAATTGCAAAATGGTGTGTCGGGAGAACGGCCTAGCTCACCTATTGGTGATGTATGTTATCATTATGTTAGCAAATATCAATAGAAATACATGTATCTTAAGGAGCCCTGTACCACCGCAGTGGCCAAGTGGTTAAGGCGTCTGCTACACTCTGCTACCACTAGTCCTCCACCACTGGGTCGCGGGTTTGAGGCCTACGTGGGGCAGTCGCCAGGTACTGGCCGTAGATCGGTGGTTTTTCTCCAGGAACTTCGGCTTTCCTCCACCACCAAAACCTGGCACGTCCTTAAGTCCTAGAATAGGTGCCATTGACCATATATTTATGTGGATTGTAACGATGGCTTTGATTGGTGCTAGCATTAATTTATTCCATCACATCACTGAAAGTTGCACAGCAGGTTATTATTATTAATTACATTTTGTATATGCCAATGTACCTGTAGACTTGAATTACATATTTAAGACGGCTGATCAGAAAAGACTTCTTTTCAGGAAGCCCTTTTTACCCCTAGAACAATTTAGTGTAGTGATGGAACATTTAAAAATATTTGTTAAAAAACTTTGACTAAGTCGAATTAAGCTGTTTTAGGATACTTAAATATGAAATATGGTTCAGCATATTGCTTACATTTCATATAAATGCCTCAACCTTATGATAGTCATCAGCCTATTGAGTGAGGTGATCCAACACTGTCCAACAACTTATTGTAATGTTTAAATATTTTAATGCCTACTCCTTCAGAATTGTTTGACAGATTTTAACTAAATTTCATGTTGAATATCACTGATAAAGGGTTAATAAAACTAATGTAAAAAGAAAACTGTGTCCCCATCACTAGGAAATGCCTTGAGTGGGTGACTCGGGTGATTGTCAAGGCCCTATGACCTCTTGTTCTTAAATTTCATCTACATGTTTCCATGGTGATTTGTTGTGCATGTTTTATAAAGAGACCGATTGGAAGAATAAAATGGCCGATAGGTGGACATCTTGGATATTGTTTGTAAAAGTTTGTTATTGCTATTTCTCATTAAGTTCTAGAAGGATCTCTCATATTTCATCTGTAGGTTTCACTTGGTACTTTCTCCTTCATTGTGTATGTTCAATTTTGGAACTACCCGGTAATCACAAGAACATGATGGATGCCAGGCAATCATCTTGGTCTTCTTCACAATGCAGAAAAACAACCATTATTGATACACTGTATGTATACAGTTTTTATTTCAAGAATAACAAAATGTTTTCTATCATTTATAACAGAAAAATGAATATGTCATGTGATGTGAACTATATATACTGTCTTAACTAACAAATAAATAAGGACCCTGTATTTAGTTTAGTTGGGAACAATAAATAGCCAACCTAAACAACTAATATGAAATAGAAATATTTTAATCTAATTGCAACACTGTTATGTCCTGTGTAATAATATACATAGTTACTTCTAAATAACTTGTATACCGGGAAACCGTTAAAGGCCAAACTGCCGCAAAAAAAATTCCTGGTATACAGTATTGACTAAACGGAGGAAATAATGGAGAATTCAACGTTATGATAAAATAAATACTCTGGTATATATTTCATCAATGGATAAATGATACAGCAAAGTTGGGTTTATCTAAAACATTTTTTTTTTCTTTTTTTTAACCTTTTAACATTTTTGAACTATCTCAATTACAAAAACCATCACTTGAGGAAATTGTTTGGCAAAGTTTACAAATACACATGTATATATGTATTTCTTGTGAAATTATCCAAACTAGTTGATGTTACCGTGCACACACAATTTCGTTACGACGGGTCCCTGTGTGTGTACACCATCAGAGAATGAATAGCACTATCACAATACACCTTCATATCCACTCTCACGTTAGCTGGGGAACCGTAGCTCCTAGGCCCGATCGTTTCATCTATGGTCCAATAATAAAAATAATAAAACGATCGGGCGTAGAGCTACGGTTCCCGCAGCTACTCTCACGTACGTGTTCGTTTGGTTGTACCACTAGTTCTCGACATAATTTCACTAAATAATTCAGAGTGACAAGTCAATAGGTAATTGATCCATAACAATGTGGAGTATCTCCTGTTTTATAACCTAATAAGGTTTAGCTAAAAGTTAATAAGGAACCTGTAACACAATTTAAAAACTAGAGTGTGCATTGTTGGTCCATAATTGATTCCTGTGGAAGTTTTAAAATTACTTAATTGAAGTACACAAAAAGCATACAGTATTTACTGTGTAACTACACAGAAACATACAGGTATTTACTGTGTAAGTACACACAGAAACATACCGGTATTTACTGTGTAAGTACACACAGAAACATACAGGTATTTACTGTGTAACTACACAGAAACATACAGGTATGAACAGTGTAAGGTAACACAGATAAACATACAGGTATTTACTGTGTAAGTACACACAGAAACATACAGGTATTTACCGTGTAACTTCACAGAAACATACAGGTATTTACAGTGTAAGGTAACATAGATAAACATACAGGTATTTACTGTGTAACTACACAGAAACATACAGGCATTTACTGTTCAAGTACACAGAAACACAACTATTTAATGTTTAACTACACAGAAACATACAGGTATTTACTGGTTAACTAGACGGATAAACATACAGGTATTTACTGTGTAACTACATAGCAACATACAGGTATTTACTGTGTAACTACACAGAAACATCCAGGTATTTACTGTTCAAGTACACAGAAACACAACTATTTAATGATTAACTACACAGAAACATACAGGTATTTACAGTGTAATGTAACACAGAAACATACAGGGATTTACAGTGTAATGTAACACAGAAACATACAGGGATTTACAGTGTAAGGTAACACAGAAACATACAGGTATTTACAGTATAAGGTAACACAGATTAACAAACAGGTATTTACTGTGTAACTACACAGAAACATCCAGGTATTTACTGTTCAAGTACACAGAAACACAACTATTTAATGATTAACTACACAGAAACATACAGGTATTTACAGTGTATGGTAACACAGAAACATACAGGTATTTACTGTTCAAGTACACAGAAACACAACTATTTAATGATTAACTACACAGAAACATACAGGTATTTACTGGTTAACTAGACGGATAAACATACAGGTATTTACTGTGTAACTACACAGAAACATACAGGGATTTACTGTATAAGTACACACAGAAACATACAGGTATTTACTGTTCAAGTACACAGAAACACAACTATTTAATGTTTAACTACACAGAAACATACAGGTATTTACAGTATAAGGTAACACAGATTAACAAACAGGTATTTACTGTGTAACTACACAGAAACAAACAGGTATGAACAGTGTAAGGTAACACAGATAAACATACAGGGATTTACTGTGTAACTACACAGAAACATACAGGTAATACTGTTTAAGTATGCACAGAAAAATACAGGTATTACTGTTTATGTATGCACAGAAACATACAGGTATTTACTGTATAAGTACAAACAGAAACATACAGGTATTTACAGTGTCAGGTAACACAGATTAACAAACAGGTATTTACTGTGTAACTACACAGAAACATACAGGCATTTACTGTTCAAGTACACAGAAACACAACTATTTAATGTTTAACTACACAGAAACATACAGGTATTTACTGTGAAAGGTAACACAGAAACATACAGGTATTTACTGTATAAGTACACACAGAAACATACAGGTATTTACAGTGTAAGGTAACACAGATTAACAAACAGGTATTTACTGTGTAACTACACAGAAACATACAGGTATTTACTGTATAAGTACACACAGACACATACAGGTATTGACTGTGTTAGTATAATTATACAGAATCATACAAATAACTATTCTGTAAGAACATGTTCTGACCAGGTCATACTATATACCTGTATCAGGCCTTAAGGAGGCTCAGGCTGGTTTGAGATAAAAGCTTCATAATTTTCTTTTGATGTACGTTTCAGAGAATTATCAATTTATACATAAGTTTGACTAACCATTTTCTGTCCATACTAAAGGCTTCACTGGAATCTTATAATCCATCCTCACAACTTCCAACTATAAAACTACACGTATTTATGCATTTCAACCATACAATGTATTTTATATGATGAAGTTTTGGAGACATTATTCTTACACTATTGCCCTATTTGTCGTCTGTCAGTTTAGCTGTGTGAGTAATTCCTTCAATATCATCTGGATTTGTCATAAAGGCCTTACCCTTGGTGAGATCTATGTCCTTCTCCCATGCCAGTCTTTCCAGCATGGTTGAGAAGCCTTTATTGTCATCGTCCGAGAGCATTGACACTCGACGTGAGATAGACGGCTTCACATTGAGCTGTCCCGTAAGACCATTTTTCTTTTGATGCCTGATTTGGTCAACAATGAGCTTGTTGGCGCGTCTCCAGAAGGATATAGCTGCTTTCTTTTTCCGAGCAACCGTTCTATTTTGTTGTTTGATGACCACTAACCCTCTCTGTTCTACAGCACTATCTTTCTTAGGAAGACTGCCGAAAACAACACGTGGCTCCCCAGAAAGTTTCACAGAATACTCCATCTGGAATTTTAGAAGGTTCTTTTTTGTAAATCCCTTTTCCAGAACCACTACAATTTTGGCCCACTGTCGTCGCCATTCTTTGGCAGATTTGGAAACGACCTGCTGATAAGTGTTGCCCATCATGGCGATAAGCATGTTGAGGAGAAGGATTGGCACAAGGACCATGAAAAACACAAACACAGTTTTAGTCAATGCAGGGTACTTGGTTTTCTCAAAATCATCATACTTAAACTCACCTAAGGTCATTTGGAATAGGGTCATAGATGTTTCCCATATATTATCTGCAGCAGGAATACCCTCCGTTCCCTGGAACAGGAAGTAAAACACTTGCGAGAAAAGCAAGACGAAAATCCCGTACATGCTTCCAAATTTCATCATGTCGGTGGCAAGCATCTGGTATGTCATGACAATCATTGGCCCAGTGAGAGGATAACCCTTGGCGAAGAACAGCAGGTAGAACCAGGACCCAGGCACTGCTACAATCAGAAGGACACTTTCTGCTGTTTCATACCCAGTAAAGCGGAGTGGGATACACAACATGATGAGGAGACAAGAAAATAGGAATATAGTTTGTGCTGGCGAGTGACGAGAATTCTTCAAAAAAGCCCAGAATCCTTGTGAGGCAACTTCCCCTATGTCGATGATCAAAATGAGAACACAACCTATGCACACAAGTATTTCGCTGACAAATCGTACAATATCTTTAACACCGTGTACAAGCAATAATCCTTCTGCCGGGCGGGTGTAAACTGCTACACTAATCAGAATAAGATGAACAAATGCCATTATAAGACGCTGGAAGAACCATTTTTTGGCATAACGCTCCCATTTCTCATCGAGGAGTTGCCTCATCACTCCACCCTCAAGCAATTCAAGATGGTCATCTGTCTCGCCATTTATTATGAGGATGAGTGCTGAATACATGTTTGTATTGCCACTGGGACCGATGGAGTCGAGAGCGAGCAGAGGGTAGGCAGAGCAAGTGGTGTTACTGTACCGCCAGAACTCCAAACTGCCCATTTCCAACATGGCTTTGAACAAGGAATGGCGTCCAAGCTTGCATGCTAGGGAAAGGGGGGTGAAGTTGGCATTGTTTTTCGCAACCGTGTTTGCTGGTTTTTTCGGATGACGCACACAGAACTTAAACATTTCGATCTTGTCAGCAACAACAGCAACATGGAGGACAGTGTTGCCATAGGAATCCGGCAGATCTGGATCAGCACCGTGGTTTATCAGGAAATCATAGATCTCCTCGTTCGCGTAAGATGTGGCAAATGCCAATGGGTATTCTCCATAGTAGTCCATTTCAGCGTAGTTGATCTCCTTTGATTTTTTTGTTCCACTTTGTATGGAGAAATTACCTTTAACTTTTTCATTTATGCTGCTTCCATTATTGATAAGTTCTGTGACCTCTTCAAGGTCACCGTAGATGATGGCCGAGTGAAGAGAAGAGCTTTTAGTGTCCATCAGGTTCACAGAGTCTATTTTTTCGGATTCCTCATCTGATGATACTTCCGTTATTTGTATATCTGGTGAAACTTTTGTCGTCGACATGGTTGTAACGTATCGAGTTCCTCTATCACAGTTTCACTCTGCAGTCACATCACATTGCAGATTATTTATATGGCATTCTCTCCATGAGTTTTCTGTTAGATCCCAACGCCATAAAACTAGCCAATCACAACACTGGTTCATTATGATGAAGATATCTTGTGCCAGAGACCTATTATTCTATGAAGTTCCCGCTAAGTTCTATTTTAAGGTAAAACAAATCATGTAAATGTTCGCGGAACCTTATATAGGTTCCTATACAGTTCAATTGTTTTTGTTATAGAGTGTTACAATGCAGCTGTTGTCGTCAGATTTGTTGCTGGTTGCCGTGGAGACAGTTTGTCCCATCCTTTATCTACCTGTTAATGTTCTCCATATCTCATCGAATGTTTTTGTGTGACAAGATAAAACAGACTTCCTGGCCATTTTCATACATTCATAAAGGTGTCCTCCATATTTTCTCTCGTAAAGTTGCCAGATCTCATTAAATAGTAAGATTTAAACCATTGTGACCACACGGGGTGACGGCACACCATTCCTCTCCATGATTTTATGGCCTGACTGCTTTAGATGAATTCCATAAAACTCTTGGACAAAGTATGGGCTATCGCTGGTTTCGACGGAAGGCATTTACTATAGATCCATTATTAATTTCTACATTGAATATTCCTGGTTATAGCTGGAAGGAGTTTTTGATCCGGTGTCGAGAATGATATGTTGTGTTTGCTTGAGCTATTCAGCTACATTGTCTAGTAAGTTAAGTGGTAAAAAAACGGTGGTACATCGTTTGCCCACATAATAATCTACGTACGTGACGCCGAAACTCATCAGGTATGCATGGCTCGGTGGATGAATTAGGTAAAATGAAATCATCCCTGTGATCACATATAAACAAGATTACACACCAAACCGTGACAAATATATATACTCCAAGCCAATAGCTATGAAACCGGTCCTTCTCAAACATCAATAATTAGCTACGCCCTGCTTCTCTATGCTAACAAGGGTTTGATGGTTGTACAAGTCCCATCAATAATTACCATCTCTTTACTTTTTCTCTTAGCAGTTCAAATAACCGCTAAAATCATGTCATGTACGTGGAGGGCCTTGGATTCAATGTGTTCGATAAATAGTTACGGGCGCTTATGACGACTGAAGGCCTGACATAATTAATGGTGATGACAATGGTGTTTTATAATTATAATTTAATCATGATAATGGTTTATATGGTAACTATCATGTGTGTATAAACTTGGCCTTATTTACTCAAGACCTTGTACAAAGAATCAACCCATTTTGTTTAATAATTCTGTTTATTGTGTATGTGAATGTGCCACTGCCTAAGGTAATATTGGGGTTAAGTCAAGATTTACCACTCTAAGGTTATGTAGAGTGTTTAATTAACCCTGATCTGTTAATCCAATTTTTTAACAAGAGTCTGTGTTTTTATAAAGTTCTAGAATTATGAGAGAAAGATAATCCTTAGAAATTAACTAGGGACTTTGTCTAATTACAGGACACAGCTGCCGGACCATTTTCTTTGGCCATTTTGATAAGAGTTCCAGATTGTACAGTAAAAGAATTATACCATACAGTAAAAGAATTATACCATACAGTATTTTTTTATACCATACAGTAAAAAAAATATACCATACAGTTCAAAATTATACCATACAGTAAAAGAATTATACTGCACAGTAAAAGAATTATACTGCACAGTAAAAGAATTATACCGCACAGTAAATGAAATATACCATACAGTTAAAGAATTATACCATACAGTTCAAAATTATACAATACAGTAAAAGAATTATACCACACAGTAGAAGAAATATACCATACAGTTGAATAATTATACCATACAGTTAAAGAATTTTACCATACAGTAAAAGAATTATACCACACAATAAAACAATTATACCATACAGTTAAAGAATTACACCATACAGTAAAACAATTATACCATACAGTAAAACAATTATACCATACAGTAAAACAATTATACCATACAGTAAAACAATTATACCATACAGTTAAAGAATTATCCCATACAGTAAAAGAATTATACCACACAATAAAACAATTATACCATACAGTTAAAGAATTTTACCATACAGTAAAAGAATTATACCATACAGTTAAAGAATTATACCATACAGTTCAAAATTATACCATACAGTAAAAGAATTATACCACACAGTAAAAGAATTATACTGCACAGTAAAAGAATTATACCGCACAGTAAAAGAAATATACCATACAGTTAAAGAATTATACCATACAGTTAAAGAATTATACCATACAGTAAAAGAATTATACCATACAGTAAAATTATTATACTGTACAGTAAAAGAATTATACCACACAATAAAACAATTATACCATACAGTTAAAGAATTATATTATACAGTTCAAAATTATACCATACAGTTAAAGAATTATACCATACAGTAAAACAATTATACCATACAGTAAAACAATTATACCATACAGTTAAAGAATTATACCATACAGTAAAAGAATTATACCATACAGTAAAATTATTATACTGTACAGTAAAAGAATTATACCACACAATAAAACAATTATACCATACAGTTAAAGAATTATACCATACAGTTCAAAATTATACCATACAGTTAAAGAATTATACCACAAAGTAAAAGCTCAATATAAAGCCCCTTGTTTCATTTGCCGCTTCACTTATTGCCGATATATGTTATGGTCCATTTTCTCTTTTACTTAAGATTTCTTTATATGTTTCCCTTAATTTATCGCCAAACCCCTTTAGAACGCCAAACTTTTTCTAGATAAATGGTAGCAGTATAAAAAGGTTTTACTGTCTATAAATGCTTTGTTCATATATGCACTGTACAAAGTATTTTTCTCATGTTAATTAACCAACAGTACTACAATAATTTCATGAATTCAGTATTATTAATAAAAGGAAAAGATATGACTTATCTATGATATATTTAATTATCATTTCATTTATTGCTGCCAATATGAGCGGAACAAGTGACTTAATTGTATAAGCACATGCAATACCTGTCACTGGGACACAGATAAATTGCATTACATAATGTAGTACCTAGTATAATAGGTTTGCAGATGTTAACCTAGAGTATCAGAATGACTAGTCAACAGTTAGATTTCCAGTCTAGTAATTTAAAAGGGAAAAATACACAAGCACTAGACCAGAACAGGATCTGATGCTGTTACAGTGAGTACATTATTTACAGAGAGCTGATTATTGTATAAAAGAGACAAGGTCTAAAAACAAGGCTGGTTTATAGAATAAACAGAGTCCAAATTAGCAAAAGCTGATTACCTTAGTCAAAGATGAATTTAACCGGGATACTGTGACCAAATAATTTAACTGATGGGTTAGACAAAGATTCAGATTGGACAGAGCCTGGTTTATACAGGTTTCTGACTAAGATTAAACTGTGATCAAGAGGGGAAATGATATAACAGTCTCTTTGCTAATTCAATAAGCTAATTTTTTTTGTATCCTTTTGCTTGTCTCTGAATCAGTTATTGATTTAAAGTGTGCTCTGTCTGAATGGACCCCCCTGCTACCATGTAGTTTGGTCGGCTTACAGTCAGAGCTACGGATTGTAGAGAGCCTTCTTGTTATACAATTTCATTGTCGAAACGAAAATTATGTAATGGTTTAGAGAACATTCCAGATTGGACAGATTTCTGTTAAGACAGGTAAAGTGTACATATTGGAAGGTCACATATTGATTGGATGCAGTAATTGTCATGTGACCCTAGTAAATAAATACGTTAATCCTAAGAAAACCCATATCTGTATGCTTCTCCTACTTTGATTTTTATTTAAATAATTGTTGAGAATGTGATGACAAATGATGTGTAATGTATTGTATTTGTGTAAGAGCTCTCTGAACTTCAGAAACCAAAGTCGGCCATTTTGGATTTTAAATTGGCCCAAAAAAAACTATTTGACTTGTGTATAGGGCCATACAAGGATTATTTGTTACCAAATGTAGTTTGATTCGCCAGTAGGAAACTTAGATAGTTGAATTTGTCTCAGCCCTTACTTACACTATTTCCCTGTTTGGCCCAACCCTTTTGCTACCAATTTTCCACACTGATCATTTATACATTAAAACCCCTGGCAACTGATCTAGCTTATACCAGATTTGTTCAAAATCTGTGCTGTCTACGTTGGTCTTTGACATAAAGGAAAAGTTGACAAAACAATGGATGACACACCAAAGCATAAGCGAAAGTGCAAATGGTGTTTTTTTTAGCAGGCTTTTAATAAAAATTAGATGTTATTCTATGCAGGAATATTAATGGGTCAGATACTTTTTGGAGTTGTACAGTACAGTAGAATTGTTTTGAAGAAGTATGGGTGGATGCAGAGGGGGAAAGGAGTCTCAGGAGGTCTTGCTATTTCATTGTTGTAGTAGGCTACTGTAAAAGCCTTTTGTTTTGTGGTACCTCATTTTTAAAGATTTTCTAAAATGGTCAGTTTTGCTGGATCTATTTTTGGCAGTAACAGCATTTTAGTGGTCATGACACAAAGTGCTACAGTAAGGATAGATTTTACAATTAAATTCTCAAATTGTGTTTTTTCAGAAACATATTTATATAAAAAGTGGGAAAATTAGAACCCCTCAAAAAACAATCTTTATAGTAACATGTTAAATCTCTTTGTTATCTGTTGTTTATGTTATGTTAACTTCCTACCCTCCACCCCCACCCCCTCAAAAATAAAATTAGAGAAGGTATGTGTAGTATAATGGAACCAGAGGGTTCATCTGTCTGTCCATCCGTCAATCTGTCAGTTGACACAAATTTTACTTGACTACTTCTCCTAAAGTGCTGCATAGATTTAGATGCAACTTTACAATGGTTTATTTCTTTTACAGTGAGCCTTCATTTGTGAGGAACCCTAGCTTGGCTTGTATGGAAGAGGATGTCTTGTATCACATCGCCCTAGGAGATAAGTCACATGACCTGAAAGAAATGTTTTCTGATGTCAAGGTAAGTGTTAAAAATAACCTTACATTTACTTCATTTTAACCTGTGCAATCAAGTCAGTGAGTTGTACTGGTATTATTAAGTCTTGTCTATCTAATTGTAGATGCAAAATTGCCCTTTCAATAAGATTTCAAAATAGTCATTATATAACTTTAGGAATTGGTTTAAGTCGTTCCAATCAGATGTCCATTCAAAATGTCTTTATTCCTTGACAGTTGTAGTTGTTATGATATAGTACTTGTTGACTGTCGCAGATATTTACATGTTATAAAACAGTTTCTCATTACTTTGTAGTTTGTGTGTTTTGGTGGATCACCGGGCCGAATGCAGAAGTTTGCATTTCAGCTAGTGGATGAACTGAAGTACAAGATGACCGCTGGCCAGACATTGTGTAATGTGGCCGGAGGATCTGACCGCTACGTTCTGTACAAAGTGGGGCCGGTCATCTCTGTCAGTGTAAGTGTTCGTGTAACCACTGTGTTAACTTAATTGCAACATTCATTAATTTTATTAGTCTTTTTAGGTTATAATTCTTGAAAACAACTTTTTTTTCTCAAATGTGCATAGAAAACTACCTTCATGGGTCAGGAAACTTCGTCTGGACCAGTTTTAAGACCCGAGATACGAAGGTTGGGTTGATTTTGTGAGTAATCAGACTTATTTGACCGTTTTTGTTTGGTTATCTGTACATTGCCTGTGTTTGTTTAATGAACCTGTACAGAAACCATAAAATTGTGCCGATTCTTTGTCCAGCTGCAAGATAAAACTGGTCAATTTGAGATAAAGCTGGTCAATGTGAGATAAAGCTGGTCAATGTAAAATTAATCAATAGTTTTTGAGATAACCTTAGCCACAGAATCCCAGTCAATGGTGATTTGGGATCAATACATAAGATGAATAAATTATCTTGACCTTCTTTCAAGGTCACAGATGACCTTCTTTCAAGGTCACAGACTTAAATGTTTAAATGACCTTATTTAACGAACTAAAGTATTTAGATATTTGACCTGTAGCTTTGTTTTGGAGTCAGAACTATCAGCTTTCCTCAATTAAAAGACAACCCACATAAGTTTGTGACATATATACCACAGTATATTTAGATATTTGCACAATTGGTCTGTGAGATCTAAACTTTTGGATTAAATATATTTCAAAATGATGGATCAAAAATGACTGAATTGTATTTTTACATTTTTATTGTTTTTCTAAAAAAGGTTGAAAACTAGCACACAGACATAATTTGAAAAGTAACTGAATAAAAAGTATGAGAAAATAAAAAAATAAAAATAAAAATAAAAACCACGAATGTATGATAATGAAATACAAATACACAGGGACAAAAGGTAATTAACGGAGAGGGTTGATGACCAAATGAAGCCAAGGAACCAACAGTGAGAACAAAATAATATGTCAGAAATTCTCATTTTGAGTACACAGCATTTGTCTTCAGACCACATGCACAGTATTAGATCGTTATTGAGTAAAATATGGTGGATAAAAGTATTGATTTTTTTCCTCAATATGAATATCGGAGTAATAAAATGTCAACATCACTAACATTGATATCGTGGACAGGAGATGAAACAAATTTTGATGTAGGATATTTTGTTTGAAATTGTTAGTGTTTTGTCGTTCCTGTGATAATGTGAAACGGTAAAGCTATCGATAAGAGACACAGGAAGCTGAACACTCACCATTACAGTTTAAGTGTTAACAAATATTGGTAGGGTCCTTTATATACGTTCAGCCATTAGTCACTTTACTCGGGTAGGGGTCTGTAAACAAAACCTACACTTGTCACATTCTATACATCTCTCTCTCTCTCTCTCTGTCTTGAGTATTCCTGTCAGCTCTTTACCGTTTTTGCATCAGATGTATTCCCATTGTAATAGTTTGTACTATATGATCTACATCCTGAAGTTGAATTGTTTAAAACATACTGTAAAGCAAAAAAAAAATGAAATTGAACAAGTATATCGTATATCTGTGTTTTGGATTTTTTTTTAAATCAACAAAACACTATCTATCTGTTGTAGACATATTGCTTACAAAATAACCAAGTCGTTGTATTTTATTGTGCCTCCTCCGTGTGTCTGATTGTTTAAACCCATCACATGATCACGAAACAAAACATCATATCGCCATGCAACAGGTGCCTGCATTTGGATTCTCCCTATGCTGTGTGTGTGTGTGTGTGTGTGTGTGTGTGTGCATACTAATCACACATTGAATAAATATCATTTGTTACTGTTTCAACAGAAATAAAAGTAAACTAACATGTTATCTATTTATCTTTGTAAGTTTTTTAGAAGAAAATCAATATGATAGTAAATTTATTATTGCCCTTGTATAGTAGGGAGATATGAAGGTTTGTTTCCCTCAATTGATCATATTTCCCTTGGGCTGCAACCTTAGAAAATGTGATTCTCTTAAAGGAAATGAACTTTCATATCTCCTTTAACCCTTTCAACACTGTAAACCTTAATGGACTCATCCATATCAATGCACAGTAGAGTCTACTAAAGTTACATAGTGACGAAAGGGTTAAATACCGGAGGAATAAATGTATACGTTTAATATTGGTTTGCTTATCATATTAGAGCCAAGGTGTTGTCAAAATTATTTCAAGTGGATTCAATCCAGATTTTAAACACTGGGCTAATTTGTTTCCAGTGCCTAAAACTTTCAATTCATATACTGTCAGAAATGGTATAAACTGGTTCTCATGCATGCAATTCAAATACTACACTGGTAAATTTAATTTTGTGTTTCACATGAGAATGTAAGTCTAGAAAAAACACTTCATAATGATATATTAAAATACTTTAGTACAAATCCTGCAATAACAAAACTCCAACAGCTCAATTTTCACCCAAAATCGTACCAATGTTCTTGTTACTGCCCTTACAACGTAATTCCTATTATTGTATTTCTTTGATTCATTAAGAAATCTTAAATGGCCACCTCGGTCTCCAGTTAGAAGCAGCATTACAATTTCTTGTTTAGGTAATGTGGATCCCTCCTGCTTTGTAAGATGTCCGTTTTCACATTAATTCGTGAGAAGAGGTGATTGGGATTTGTCCAACGGGCATATTTTAAATGTTCCGTCACCTGCAACTGACAAACTTTGCATATGAATGTACCTATGAATGGCAGAGATTCTTATACTGAAATTGAGTCTTGTCTCCTCACCATATTATCAGGTGGGGGACTATGGATTACTTGGCCTCGTTTAAGTAGATTGAGATCATCAGTTATTCTCATTTCATTCAGGTTCTGTTAAAAGGTATTGATTTCATGTCAAATGTTCCTGCAGTGTCTGTTCTGATGAATTCATGGGAATGTCTCCTGAACAGTAAATCGAATGGTCGTGATATATTTCAATCTCTGTTCGCAGCATGGTATGGGGATTCCCTCATTGTCCATCCTGATGCATGAGATACTGAAGCTGCTTCACCATGCAGAGTGTTCACCGAGTGACGTCACCTTCTTCAGAATAGGGACCAGTGGTGGACTAGGTAGTTATAGTCAATACCTACCCCATACCTCCTGTTTATATCCACACCCAGACCAAGCATGTAGGCCACATGTTGATTAATAGTCAATACCTACCCCATACCTCCTGTTTATATCCACACCCAGACCAAGCATGTAGGCCACATGTTGATTAATAGTCAATACCTACCCCATACCTCCTGTTTATATCCACACCCAGACCAAGCATGTAGGCCACATGTTGATTAATAGTCAATACCTACCCCATACCTCCTGTTTATATCCACACCCAGACCAAGCATGTAGGCCACATGTTGATTAATAGTCAATACCTACCCCATACCTCCTGTTTATATCCACACCCAGACCAAGCATGTAGGCCACATGTTGATTAATAGTCAATACCTACCCCATACCTCCTGTTTATATCCACACCCAGACCAAGCATGTAGGCCACATGTTGATTAATAGTCAATACCTACCCCATACCTCCTGTTTATATCCACACCCAGACCAAGCATGTAGGCCACATGTTGATTAATAGTCAATACCTACCCCATACCTCCTGTTTATATCCACACCCAGACCAAGCATGTAGGCCACATGTTGATTAATAGTCAATACCTACCCCATACCTCCTGTTTATATCCACACCCAGACCAAGCATGTAGGCCACATGTTGATTAATAGTCAATACCTACCCCATACCTCCTGTTTATATCCACACCCAGACCAAGCATGTAGGCCACATGTTGATTAATAGTCAATACCTACCCCATACCTCCTGTTTATATCCACACCCAGACCAAGCATGTAGGCCACATGTTGATTAATAGTCAATACCTACCCCATACCTCCTGTTTATATCCACACCCAGACCAAGCATGTAGGCCACATGTTGATTAATAGTCAATACCTACCCCATACCTCCTGTTTATATCCACACCCAGACCAAGCATGTAGGCCACATGTTGATTAATAGTCAATACCTACCCCATACCTCCTGTTTATATCCACACCCAGACCAAGCATGTAGGCCACATGTTGATTAATAGTCAATACCTACCCCATACCTCCTGTTTATATCCACACCCAGACCAAGCATGTAGGCCACATGTTGATTAATAGTCAATACCTACCCCATACCTCCTGTTTATATCCACACCCAGACCAAGCATGTAGGCCACATGTTGATTAATAGTCAATACCTACCCCATACCTCCTGTTTATATCCACACCCAGACCAAGCATGTAGGCCACATGTTGATTAATAGTCAATACCTACCCCATACCTCCTGTTTATATCCACACCCAGACCAAGCATGTAGGCCACATGTTGATTAATAGTCAATACCTACCCCATACCTCCTGTTTATATCCACACCCAGACCAAGCATGTAGGCCACATGTTGATTAATAGTCAATACCTACCCCATACCTCCTGTTTATATCCACACCCAGACCAAGCATGTAGGCCACATGTTGATTAATAGTCAATACCTACCCCATACCTCCTGTTTATATCCACACCCAGACCAAGCATGTAGGCCACATGTTGATTAATAGTCAATACCTACCCCATACCTCCTGTTTATATCCACACCCAGACCAAGCATGTAGGCCACATGTTGATTAATAGTCAATACCTACCCCATACCTCCTGTTTATATCCACACCCAGACCAAGCATGTAGGCCACATGTTGATTAATAGTCAATACCTACCCCATACCTCCTGTTTATATCCACACCCAGACCAAGCATGTAGGCCACATGTTGATTAATAGTCAATACCTACCCCATACCTCCTGTTTATATCCACACCCAGACCAAGCATGTAGGCCACATGTTGATTAATAGTCAATACCTACCCCATACCTCCTGTTTATATCCACACCCAGACCAAGCATGTAGGCCACATGTTGATTAATAGTCAATACCTACCCCATACCTCCTGTTTATATCCACACCCAGACCAAGCATGTAGGCCACATGTTGATTAATAGTCAATACCTACCCCATACCTCCTGTTTATATCCACACCCAGACCAAGCATGTAGGCCACATGTTGATTAATAGTCAATACCTACCCCATACCTCCTGTTTATATCCACACCCAGACCAAGCATGTAGGCCACATGTTGATTAATAGTCAATACCTACCCCATACCTCCTGTTTATATCCACACCCAGACCAAGCATGTAGGCCACATGTTGATTAATAGTCAATACCTACCCCATACCTCCTGTTTATATCCACACCCAGACCAAGCATGTAGGCCACATGTTGATTAATAGTCAATACCTACCCCATACCTCCTGTTTATATCCACACCCAGACCAAGCATGTAGGCCACATGTTGATTAATAGTCAATACCTACCCCATACCTCCTGTTTATATCCACACCCAGACCAAGCATGTAGGCCACATGTTGATTAATAGTCAATACCTACCCCATACCTCCTGTTTATATCCACACCCAGACCAAGCATGTAGGCCACATGTTGATTAATAGTCAATACCTACCCCATACCTCCTGTTTATATCCACACCCAGACCAAGCATGTAGGCCACATGTTGATTAATAGTCAATACCTACCCCATACCTCCTGTTTATATCCACACCCAGACCAAGCATGTAGGCCACATGTTGATTAATAGTCAATACCTACCCCATACCTCCTGTTTATATCCACACCCAGACCAAGCATGTAGGCCACATGTTGATTAATAGTCAATACCTACCCCATACCTCCTGTTTATATCCACACCCAGACCAAGCATGTAGGCCACATGTTGATTAATAGTCAATACCTACCCCATACCTCCTGTTTATATCCACACCCAGACCAAGCATGTAGGCCACATGTTGATTAATAGTCAATACCTACCCCATACCTCCTGTTTATATCCACACCCAGACCAAGCATGTAGGCCACATGTTGATTAATAGTCAATACCTACCCCATACCTCCTGTTTATATCCACACCCAGACCAAGCATGTAGGCCACATGTTGATTAATAGTCAATACCTACCCCATACCTCCTGTTTATATCCACACCCAGACCAAGCATGTAGGCCACATGTTGATTAATAGTCAATACCTACCCCATACCTCCTGTTTATATCCACACCCAGACCAAGCATGTAGGCCACATGTTGATTAATGAATTCCAATACCTTATTCCTTATAATCAAGAACTATGGAATAATTGATATGTTGTATGCAGGATATGTATGTAAAAGAAAAAATGTGTAATGTGGTCAGGTTTTTTTTCTTTTTTTTCTTTTGGTTCATTGTCACAAAATGAAAGGAGAAATATTCTAATCACTCATCTCTCCATCATCTGTCCCTCAATTACCTTTTACAGTATTCAAATTCAGCCTATACAATTTTCACCAGAATTTACTCGATTCCTGACCCTCATCAAGCGTTGAGGGCCAGGAATGTGTTTAGAGACGGGCCAGCTAGGGTCAGCTGGTCTTTAAAATCAGCTCCTTGGTCAGTCTGTCTCCAAATCAGCTCATACTGTCTGACACTTTGATATTCCCACAGGTCTCGAACCAGGAACAGTCGTTATATCTGAAGCAGCAGTTGACGGCATCTTACGTCCATATATGGAAGTGGTGAGAATTTTCTTCCGACTCTTTCTAACATACCGACTGGAAATGACTAAGGGTGTTTGATACTTTGTTTCCTGCTTGAAGATAAAAGAAAATAAAAGATATTTTTTTTATTGCAACACTCGATTCTTGACATCAGACATCAGGATAGAATTACACTCCTGTGACTATTTATTTTGAGAGTATTGGACAGATCTTAGGGTTGAAGACAGATTTACTTTTGAAAAAATTTGACTCCATAAGGGCCAAAATTGGGAAATTGAATATCTTGCAATGGTTTCATAAATTTTTGTGTTGTAGGGGGAGGGGTAAACCTTTAAAAGACTATCCCTAATGTATGGGTGAAGAGTTTTCGATGTAGTTAATGGCATCGAGCAACCTTGGGCTAAGATAATCGAACAGTTTATAAAGGAAGGGTATGGCCTGTGTAGAGAAAGAAGAGTGGGACCCAAAAGGGGTCAATCTTTAAAAGACTACACCTCAAGAACTGATCTAAGGATTCTGACCTTATTTAGCATGGAGCATCCCTTGGCGAAAGGAAATCAACTTTATAAAAACGAAGAGTGTGCCCCATGGGGCAGGCAGGGCAGGCAGAGGGGTGGGCCCAAAATGAGAATTGGGGGTTTATATTTTAAAAAAAACTACTTCTTAGATATCAATGAAGGGATTTTGACCTCAAATGGCATAGAGTACTCCTGGATGAAGGTAGTTCAATTTTAAGTATAGTCTCCTGGGGGTGTGCTCAAAAGAGGAAATGTGAATTAATCTTTATTAATTAACAGATTCACAATCTTCACAATTTATATTGTATTCCTTGAAATTCAATGTATTCAAAATGATTTAACATAGAAACATTGTTCACATCATTTCGGCAAGTTTCAATGATCAAATTTGAATTAGTTTACCTAGCTCGGGGCAATGTTTCTATGTTAAATCATTTTAAATACATTGAATTTCAAGAAATACAATATAAATTGTGAAGATTGTGAATCTGTTAATTAAAAAAAATATGACTGTGTTTTTCTGTTGCAAGCAACATTAATAGTGAAGAAGAAAGGAAGATACATTCAGACAAGTTCTGGATTAGGATTGATATCATTCAACAAGTTGTCCCTGTCACATGTACACCCTCAAGAAATACAAAAAAAATATTGAAACATTATAATAATTGCAATATAAAACTATTGCAAAATCATATTGCAAAATATTGGTGTCACAATATTTTCTCTAGAAAATTAAGAAGTAAAATGACTTCTATTATGTGTGCTTTAATCCATTCATTGGATGTATTCATAGTTCATCAGAAGTCATATCTTGTGAAAAATAAATAAATCGAACAAAGAGCATGATATTCTTTTATTCTAGTATGATTTCACAGTTTGTGCTTTTAACAGTGACATATGTTTGGTTTCCTATAGGCAACCCTTGGGATGATAATCCAGCATCCGGCCCTGCTCAACCAGGAGCTCAACGCTGAACTAATGGCTGTCGCTGGGGAGGCAGAAATTAAAGCCGTCTGTGGTAAAACCATGTGTACCTACGACTTTTATGAGGGTAAATATGGGTGTGGAGCTTAAAACTAGTATTGTTTATCTTTTCATAATGGTGTTGTTGACATTTTACTTCATTATTTGCTTGATAGTAATCCAATATATCATTATAATTTGAAAACAAAGATCTTGCATTTCTCTCTCTAATGTGATATTGACATATAAACCCTAAGTTGAGGTTTCATTATGTATCTGACGTTTTCGTAAAAAAATCAATTCCAATAATTGTTTGTTTGATAAGTAATCAGTGTATGTAGGAAGCTTGAGTAGACCTAGACCAACGTTGTATTGGACAAAAGGTGAAATCTATTTATAGTAACGGCCGACCTTGTTGTGTCTTTGAATGCATTTCCATATATACCATAATGCACTGTCAGCAAGTATTCATCATTTTTTAATCGTTATTGCAAATTCAATACATAGAAACTTTGTGTAATATTTGTTTAGCTCAGACCTGACACCTTACATGTGGCGGGTCAGTAAATGGCTCTGGCTTTGATTCCTTTTGTTTTTTCACTGCAAGTAGAAATATAAAATATTGAAAATGACTAGATATAATTAATCAATATTACTTACTGCCTATGGGCAAAAGAGACTTTGCATTTATTCCAAATCAATAAATACCATTTGGTTCATTGACTTAGGTAACCTTACAAAAGACAGAGAAAAGTCACTGTCGTAGAAATTTGGTTTATTAAATGATGTGCAACAGGAAAGATAGTAGTGTGCTTCCACTGAGGATCGAACCCACGACCCCCAGGTTTCCAGTCCAATGCTGTACTGATTGAGCTAAAGGGAATACCCTCGTGCGCAAAGCTAGAAAGTGACTGTATTCATATGTACAATTTGTATTGATATTTAAGGTGGGGGAAAAAGGAAAACTGGCATGAAAATATGACAAGTTGTTAAATTTGTAAATGAACTGTTAGTGTTCTTTAGAAATAATCAACATATGTGCGTGTATTAGTGGTGTAATATATATACCGAGGGTGAGATAATGTTGGAAAAAATAATTAACGAAGGCTTCTTGCAGCCTGAATGGATTACTTATCCAATATTTTTGAATCTCAAGTTATATATTTCACTTTCAAGTTAAATGTAAGTAAAGTCTATTTCGTGTCTACCTCAGTGTCAATATGCCTATGATAAGCAAGGTGACCTAGATAATCTGATTATCTAAATTAGGCTGTTCCTTTGCGCACTCAAACATTTATTACATTATCCCGATATCTTCATTTCACAACAAGCTGTGCGTTTTTATCAATGGCCCTGTGAGCAGTTGTCCTATTTTGTGTATCTAAGTTGGAAAGGATTTCAATTTGGTCGACAGGCGATAAACAGTAAACACTAGCGTCTTGTTTTATGCCAAATGTTTATCTTAATCAGTCAAATTCGCCAATCTATCAACATCGCTTGTTAACACATGAAGCGACATATAGGTATTACTTTGTCGGCAGCATCGGTGTTGTCGGTGTCTTCGGCTGTGTCGTCCGAAACAAGATTTCTGTGCGATAACTTAAGTTCCCTTGGGTTGATTGTACTCAAACTTAGTACACATATTGCATAACAATATAGCGCAGACAAGTTCACATTTCAGAAGTTTACGTGTATTTTTGTTGGAGTTATGCCCCTTTTATTGCCTAATAAGGGCATTGTGTAGTAAATGCATGAACTTTTTTTATTTTTTTAATCAATTCCTTTCAAATTTTGTACGGTAATGCTAGAAGCAATAGTGTTCAACATATATTACAAGGTTTTTTTATCGAATTTCAACTTTCCAGGTTTTGGCATATCTGTTTACGCGATAACTCGATCAAGCCAAAACACTTTTCTTACTAAAAGTGCTGAGCAGGCGACACATCCACTCCCATGGAATTCTTGTTTATTTTGTCAGCTAGCATATCTTCAAATACATACAAAATCAAACGTTGGTACCCTCATTCGACACATGAAACCAGTCCCGCAACTCATTTGTTTACGGTTACAATTGCGAGATGCGTTTTTAGATAAGCATGGCCTATCCTCCAACACTCTATGGTTATTAACTTATTAACCAATGAAAAGTGTGGTTACATCGCAAAATTGGTAGAATTTTGAATACCTCATAAAAATTTGCTACGTATTTATGTAACAGGAAAGGAAAAATGCAACTCGAACCCGGAACCTCCGAACTCTAGACAGACACTTTAACCAATTGGAGATATCTAGTCGTCGGCGATTGTACCAGTCCAGTTCCCCTGCATTATGTTATACCTACATATATATATTGATATTGTTTTACCCGAAACAAAGTTGCAGGGTACAGGCTGAGTTCTGTGTGATCCTGTTCATACAGATGGGTGGCAAAGTTCTTTTTCAGATGAATTAAATTTCTGCACATCTGATTGTCTTCAATAATCACACCACATGTAAAACTTAAACATTTGGTCATCGCAAAATGTCTATTGTATTTCAGGGTCAGAAACCTAAGGTCAGTGTAATGTGGTGATCGAATGTTATATTAAATGCAGTGTGATAGTGTGGTAATGGAGTGTTATAGTGAATCGTACTCCTCAAGCACACTTCTTTATGCGATAGAAATTGTCTATCTGTCCATCCATTCCTCTGCACGATAACTTCCTGAAAGAATAACCCATTTTGATACAATTTGGCCAGCATGTAAGACTGTCCGTCTATACATACATCCACACTTCCTCTCATCCTCGGTACTCCAGGGTTACGCTAACTTACGCTCTCTGCACCCTTGGAATATGTCATGGTAAAATTAAAGTCACAAGTGAGAGAGTTATTTGATTTATCTGAGAGAAAAAATAAACCGGACGAAAAGCTGGGAAAATACCTGTCCTTTGAAGATTACAGAGTAGCGAGACCGACTTAAAACCAGTCAAATTTACCATTTTACTGCCCTGCGATTCTTATGATGTATATCAAAGGATCGGGCTAGACTTCTCGTTTCATCCACAAGGTGGTGCACACTGAGCCTTCGTATTTGTCATAAAATTTTCAAGAGGTGCAGAGAGCGTAAGTGACCGTAACCACTGGAGTATCTAGGATGATTTCCTATAATAATAATAATAATTTGAGGTTCTTATATACCGCTTTATCACAACCTTGTTCGTAGGTAGTCTCAAAGCGATTCACAAATTATTATCTGTGGTTATGAGGCCTTTGAAACCAGCCAATATCTTTTTCAACTCCCTGGGGAGCATACAGCCTGTGCTGCGATTTCCTATCTCCAATATCTTCCTTAAGATATTAGAAAAAAAATCAGCATCTAGTACTAAATTTGGATGAAATCCATGCATAATTAATTAACATACTCTGCTAACTGGTTGACTGTTTTTGCAAAGGAACTTTAATAAGTACTAATATTTATATATCACTGAGTTCTAATGATGGTGACGAAAGCCAACTTCGAAGTTGAGAGAAATAGGCCTGTAATAAAGTAGCTCACAGCTATTTCATTGGTTAATCGGGAGACAGTCTAATCAATTTCATCTGAGATTTTGTGCAAGGGAGGTAACTCTTATAAGGAATATTTGATATCAGCAATAAGTTTTATACATATACATCTGAAATGCATTTGTGGTAAATCACTTATACATATATAATTGTACGTTAATAGTAATACTAAATCGTAGATTGATGGTACTCTTTGCCTTAAGTCCATATGGGGGCGGCGGTGGCCGAGTGGTGAAGGCATAACTTAACTCATTCACCCCTGAAGACACATTTGAACCCTTCCAATTCAAAGGTTGGAATAGTTCATTATGAAATTTCAGGGGTGAATGAGTTAAACGATCTACAATCACTAGCCCTCCACCATGGGTTTGAGGCCTACCTGGGGCAGTCCTGGGGCAGCTCACCAGGTACTGGCCGTAGGATGTTGTCGTTTCAAGGGGTCCAGGATGTTGTCGTTTCAAGGGGTCCAGGATGTTGTCGTTTCAAGGGGTCCAGGATGTTGTCGTTTTTAAGGGGTCCAGGATGTTGTCATTTCAAGGGGTCCAGGATGTTGTCGTTTTAGGGGGTCCAGGATGTTGTCGTTTCAAGGGGTCCAGGATGTTGTCGTTTCAAGGGGTCCAGGATGTTGTCGTTTCTCCGCGCCAAAATCTTCCATGTCCTTTAAGGACCGTAACTGTTAATACGATGTAAAGCACAAACAATTTTTTTTAAGCCAAACCAAATTAAGACCATATGTATTTCTGTTGCTGTGATTCTGCTATAGCAGGTGCACAGATCAGACATAATTTGTCCTTTAAATAAACAATCTAAAGAATCTCCTTGAAGAGGAGATGAAAGTGGTAAAGATATGTTGCCAAGAAGTTATCTATTTAAAATTGTTTCTTCATCTGTAAGGATCATTTTACGACTGGTATAATAAACATATTGTATAATTATATTACTTTGCTTCCAAAATTGTATATATTATATACATTATGTATTCTACTTTTGATAATTTTCTACAAGATTAGGACAAGGTAATAAGATATGTACTGTAACATTGTTTTTGGAATACTCTTAATTGCATAATTATTTTTGACAAATGAGCTATGCAATTTACTGGAATTTACTATAATAACATAATCTTATTTAATCCTTTAATCATATACAATAAAACATAATGTGCTCTTGACGGGTGTATTATGAATGTTAAATGTCAAGGCCTTTCCTGAAGTGTCTATATACGATAATGGAGTAAAGACGAGGATTGTGATGGGTAATACACTAATGGAGTGCATTCGGAAATACACTTAAGGAGTGTAAATATGGAGTGCATTAGGAAATACACTAATGGAGTGTAAATATGGAGTGCATTAGGAAATACACTAACGGAGTGTAAATATGGAGTGCATTAGGAAAAACACTAATGGAATGCATTGGGAAATACACTAATGGAGTGCATTAGGAAATATACTAATGGAGTGTAAAAATGGGAGTTCATTGGGAAAAACACTAATGGAGTGTAAATATGGAATGCATTAGGAAATACACTAATGGAGTGTAAAAATGGAGTTCATTGGGAAAAACACTAATGGAGTGTAAATTTGGAGTGCATTAGGAAATACACTAATGGAGTGTAAAAATGGAGTGCATTTGGAAATACATTTATGAAGTGTAAATATGGACTGCATTAGGAAATACACTAATGGAGTGTAAAAATGGAGTGCATTGGGAAATACACTAATGGAGTTTAAATATGGAGTGCTTTAGGAAATACACTAATGGAGTGTAAAAATGGAGAGCAGTATGTTAGTTGAGTAAGGTAGTGAAGTTTGGGGGTGGAAATGCACATAGGAGATGGTAGTATTTTGAGGGCTTATATCATATGGTAATGGAGGACACTGACCATGTGTGCTATTGAAGTGTACCTAATGGAGTTTGGTAGTGAAGCGTAATAGTTTCTTGCAACAGTGAGGTAGTAGAGAGTGGTATGTAGAGTACAGTAGTGGACTATGGTAGTACAATGGTTGAACATGCAAGTATGATAGATCTAAAAGAGTTCTGTAGTGGAGTATAGTAGCTAGTCTAGTCCTGTGGGGGCTGCAGTGGCTGAGTGGTTAAGGTATCTGACCGTCTACGATCACTATAGCCGTCCACCACTGAGTCACAGATTCAAGGTCTACATGGGGCAGTCACCAGGTACTGGCTGCAGGTCAGTGACTTTCTTCTGATGCTCGGGTTTTCCTCCAACAGCAAAACCTAGTCCATCCTTAAATAACTACAGCTGTTTATAGGAGGTCAAACACAAACAAACCAAATCAAACTAGTCGAGTGAGGCAGTAGAGTGCACTATTGGATTGAGATAGTTAAATGTGGAATGATGGTATTATTACATTTGTATGGGATATCATATGAACTTGGCACCATCTGTAATCTTTATAAACAATGCAATATCATTTTTCTGCTTTTAATATCTGTAGCTATGATGGAGTTACGTGACATTTGACCCTAATAAGTATAATTTCAGGCCAAGCAAGGTTGGACGGAGCATTCTGTGATTACACTCCCGAGGACAAGATGGCTTTTCTGAAGAGGGCACATTCCCGCAGGGTAGCCAACATTGAGATGGAGTCCCTGTGCTTTGCCGCCATGACACATAGGGCTGGCATCAAAAGTAAGACACACAATTGTATAGCTGATTGATCAAACAATACACAAAATCTGCATTTTAGAGATTCTGTCTCGTTGGTGATCTTAAGTGATATTTGGAGTCTTGTACTTGTTTGTTCACATAGTACCAAGTCACTGTAAGCCAACCACGTCCATCCATCAAACTTTTAAAGTCAGTTCTTCTTAAGAGCGATAAAATGAGGTCTTGTTGTTTCTCCTACAGCTTTGGGTGAATTACAGGACTAATAATGTTCAAATAAATTTTGTTTGTGGGCAATAACTAAACCCATTTCTGTTGCAAGATACAGCCAAACATTTATATTTAGAAAAAAATATGTACGGTATAAAGCAATGTTTACACTTAAATATAGCAGGTGTGACAATTAATTGTATTCCTAGGTGCAGTTCTGTGTGTGACCCTACTAGACAGGCTGAAAGGGGACCAGATCTGCACACCACACGACATCATGGAAGAATGGCAGCAACGTCCTCAACGTATTGTCATCAAGTATATACGTAAACAATTAGGTCTGGAGTGATCCTTCGTACTTAACACGACGTCATGGGAGACTGGCAGCAACATCCTCAAAGTATCTTCATCCGGTATATACATCAATTAGGTCTGGAGTGATTAATCGTAATTAACACGACGTCTTGGGAGAATAGCAGCAACATCATCAAAGTATCTTCATCCGGTATATACATCAATTAGGTCTGGAGTGATTAATCGTAATTAACACGACGTCATGGAGGATTAATACCACTGGCTGCATAATATTATTGACCACACTAAAGAAGTTAAATTGTTAAGATTGTTTCCAGTGACAAAAGGGTTGTGTTAGTGATAAAAGGGTTGTGTTACGTCCCCTACTGGTGACTCCAGGTGTTTATTACTACAGAAGGGTTGTGTTACGTCCCCTACTGGTGACTCCAGGTGTTTATAGCTACAGAAGGGTTGTGTTAGGTCCCCTACTGGTGACTCCAGGTGTTTATAGCTACAGAAGGGTTGTGTTACGTCCCCTACTGGTGACTCCAGGTGTTTATAGCTACAGAAGGGTTGTGTTACGTCCCCTACTGGTGACTCCAGGTGTTTATAGCTACAGAA